TTGTTTTCCGCACAAATAAATCAGGTTTCAACAGTTTCATAGAGGTTATTTCGAATAAACTGAGCAGAATTCAACCATTATGTGTATCGATAATTTGAAAGGATTTCGAACAAAGCAAGAACTACAGTTTTAGCAGAATAATGTGGTACCATCATTTATTTCGTTGGCTTCTCATCAGCTGCTTACAGCCTAAATAAATTATGAGGTTTAAGTACAGACATGTTTCAACATACTTGCAAATTTTACATGTTGTCAGTTGACAGAAAATTCCACAATTTGTAAACAGTGCTCAGAAGTTTGCGCTTATATAGTTTTCACACAGGCAGTTCAGGTTAAAACAAAATAAATGTATGCAGAAAATGGTAAGAGAGTTACGTAATAAAGATGAGATATGCGTTAGATGCATAGTGACTAGTAAGTTAGGTAACAATGAACTGAGTTGAGCTCTAATCATAGAAACAAGAGACAAACAAAATTACAGATTATAGAAAGGGAGGGTGAGAATAGAGACAAAGATTACGTAATCAGATGAGAGAAAAAAAAGCATCCAGTTACCAAGGCAAGGAAAGACTAACAACTGCTTCTTTCTGAACACATAGATCAGGTTTCAAGCGTTTGATAGAAATCGCTTCAGCAAACTTAAGGAGAATTGAGCTCTTTTGCCTATTGATAATTTTGAACGACTTTTCGACGTCCACCTCATGACCCATGTCGAGGAGATGCCTGGCGATGGCACTGTTTAGAGCATTTGTTCCCTTTAGACGTAAGCTTTTTGGTACGTGTTCAGAAAATCGTAGATATGCCCTTCTTTCTGTTCTTCCAATGTAACTGCTCCCGCAGATACACGTAAATTTGTATATACAGTTGGAGGTAACATGAGAAGGATATCTATCGATTTTTGATTGCACCAAAGAGCAAGTTGTTCGATAGATGGGAACGAGTTTGGCTGCAGGATAGGCTATGGCTAGTGATGTACTCAGCCTTCTGTTGATCATCGCTGCAATGTTTTCACCTTTATAGTCAAGCTGAACGTAGACTGGCTTTTTACCCACTGTGGTTTGTTTTACATTTGTGACTTCAGATCTTCCATACTTGTTGATGAACTTTTGAGGATACCCATTTCTCTTCAATATCTTTTCAAGGAACACCAACTCCTCCTCTAGTTTCTCTATAGAGCATATTCTCCTCGCTCTATAGTACAGAGTCTTGACTAGACCCCGTTTAAAGCTATTTGGACAAAAGCTGTTAAAATGCAAGTATTGTCCTTTCCATGTGGGCTTTCGATAAATTGATTTTTGAAGACTACCATCTTCTAGGCGTTCCATGGCGATGTCGAGGAAGTGAAACTTTCCGTCACTTTCATGTTCCATAGTGAAATCAATATTGGCGTGTGCACCATTGAATAATCTTAGTAAGTGTGAGGCATGGCTTTCATTTTCGCACACTAAGATAAGACAGATGCCGTCGAAAAACGTATCACAAACGCCTTGAGAGATCTCCTAAAGAAGAAATTGATTGACAACAACACGTACAATGACTTGAAACCCCGAGGGTCCCGCTTGCCACACATGTATGGCGTTCCGAAGACACACAAAGAACAAGTCCCCCTGAGACCCATACTTTCGATGATCAACTCGCCCCAACATAAGGTGGCACGTTGGCTTGCGGAGAAGTTGGAACCTATTCGTCAACGGCTAGGCGTGCACACGGCGAAAGACTCATTTCATTTCTCTGAAAGTGTGAACCACATGAACGTTCTAAATAAATTCATGGTGTCATTTGATGTAACCTCCCTATTCACAATGATTCCAATCAATGAAACTGTTGAGATCATTTGTCAGCAGTCCGATCTTCTCCCACTCCCAGAATCGGAATTCAAACGCCTACTGCTTATGTGTACCATGGATGTGCAATTCCAATTTGACAACACATTTTACCGCCAAATAGATGGTGTAGCTATGGGCAGTCCACTCAGCCCTGTTCTAGCAGATATATTCATGTCAAACCTCGAAAGAACAAAGTTGAAACATGCAATTGACGAAACATCTTCCTACTGTCGTTATGTAGATGACACATTTATAGTGTGCGAAAATGAAAGCCATGCCTCACACTTACTAAGATTATTCAATGGTGCACACGCCAATATTGATTTCACTATGGAACATGAAAGTGACGGAAAGTTTCACTTCCTCGACATCGCCATGGAACGCCTAGAAGATGGTAGTCTTCAAAAATCAATTTATCGAAAGCCCACATGGAAAGGACAATACTTGCATTTTAACAGCTTTTGTCCAAATAGCTTTAAACGGGGTCTAGTCAAGACTCTGTACTATAGAGCGAGGAGAATATGCTCTATAGAGAAACTAGAGGAGGAGTTGGTGTTCCTTGAAAAGATATTGAAGAGAAATGGGTATCCTCAAAAGTTCATCAACAAGTATGGAAGATCTGAAGTCACAAATGTAAAACAAACCACAGTGGGTAAAAAGCCAGTCTACGTTCAGCTTGACTATAAAGGTGAAAACATTGCAGCGATGATCAACAGAAGGCTGAGTACATCACTAGCCATAGCCTATCCTGCAGCCAAGCTCGTTCCCATCTATCGAACAACTTGCTCTTTGGTGCAATCAAAAATCGATAGATATCCTTCTCATGTTACCTCCAACTGTATATACAAATTTACGTGTATCTGCGGGAGCAGTTACATTGGAAGAACAGAAAGAAGGGCATATCTACGATTTTCTGAACACGTACCAAAAAGCTTACGTCTAAAGGGAACAAATGCTCTAAACAGTGCCATCGCCAGGCATCTCCTCGACACGGGTCATGAGGTGGACGTCGAAAAGTCGTTCAAAATTATCAATAGGCAAAAGAGCTCAATTCTCCTTAAGTTTGCTGAAGCGATTTCTATCAAACGCTTGAAACCTGATCTATGTGTTCAGAAAGAAGCAGTTATTAGTCTTTCCTTGCCTTGGTAACTGGATGCTTTTTTTCTCTCATCTGATTACGTAATCTTTGTCTCTATTCTCACCCTCCCTTTCTATAATCTGTAATTTTGTTTGTCTCTTGTTTCTATGATTAGAGCTCAACTCAGTTCATTGTTACCTAACTTACTAGTCACTATGCATCTAACGCATATCTCATCTTTATTACGTAACTCTCTTACCATTTTCTGCATACATTTATTTTGTTTTAACCTGAACTGCCTGTGTGAAAACTATATAAGCGCAAACTTCTGAGCACTGTTTACAAATTGTGGAATTTTCTGTCAACTGACAACATGTAAAATTTGCAAGTATGTTGAAACATGTCTGTACTTAAACCTCATAATTTATTTAGGCTGTAAGCAGCTGATGAGAAGCCAACGAAATAAATGATGGTACCACATTATTCTGCTAAAACTGTAGTTCTTGCTTTGTTCAAATTCATTAAGGGGAATAAATGTATGAAAGGATTTCAGTGTCCATCTGCCTCATGACCCGTATCGACGAGGTGCCTCGCAATGGCTCTATTGGAAGCGTTTGCTCCTTTGACAGGCAAACATCTGGCATGTATCCAGAAAACCATGTGTGTGTCGTTCTGTCTGTTCTTCCAATTTTTAACTGCTGCCACCGATACATGTAAGTCTACATACACAGTTAGAAGTAAGATAAGAAGGCTATCTATCGACCTTTGATTATACTAAAGAGGGTGTTGTTCAACAAACAGGAACCAACAAAGTTGCACGATAAGTTCTGGCTAGTGAGGTATTAAATCTTCTGTTGACTATTCCTGCAACATTATCCCCATTAAAATCCAGTTGCATGAAGATAAACTTTTTCCTCTGAGATTTGTTTGGTATTTGAGCCTCATATCTTCCGTATTTGTTAATGAATTTCTAACGTTATCCGTTGTATTTCAACATCGTTTCCAGAATGCAAAACTCTTTCTCTGATTTCTCTGTAGAGCATATTTTCCTTTCTCACTAAAGCTGAGTTTTGACCATTGCTCGTTTATGCTTATTTACGCAAAATCTAATGAATTGTAGGTATTTTATTATTCTTTTTTACGAAGGCCTTCAGTGAATTGATCTCTGGGGACAACCATCTTCCAAGTGTTCCATGGCAATATAAAGTAAGAGAATGAAATTTCGCATGACTTCAATATCCCATAGTAAAGTCTCTCAAGGCTAAGTTATGAAGATGTTTATTTACTACAGGGCTTCGAGGAGATGGTAAAAAGTACTGTACATCCATGGTACATATTAATAGTTAGCATTCGAATTCCGACACTCTAATTGAATATAAACAAAACTTGACTAATCGAATTCAGTCTGCACCAAAGATAGCACCAGTTACTGACTAGTGTCCAACCGAAATATCCAATACAGAGAGTCCTACAGGAGATCAATCGCGAGCCCGAATAGCTCAGTGGTGGTAACCTCTCTGACTGCAGCATTGCCTGACACCGGTTCGAACCTCAAAGAGTACTCATGAGTCCCTTGACGGTTGCAGGTATGACTTGCTGATTGGTGAGTGCCACCACCAACTAGCACGAAACCTAGGTCATGTCATGCTTCCTGCTGACTGCCTCCGACCATCTAGTATTATTATAAACTAAATTATATTTACACACACGCTTATCAATAGCAGTAGGAAAATTACCAAGTTAACATAGACTGAACTGTTCAGGTACATGTAGGAAATCTACACCACTACCAACATCAATAATTCAAAGCTGCAGCTACAATTTTGCGCATGAAAAATTTAAACAAAAGGTCGTATAACCACCAAGCAAACTTGTCTTTGCCCATTGTGTAAACACAAAAAAGTAGACAAATGAGAGAGAGAGATATATAATTATACTTCTCTTAAAATATATATACACATACATGCAAACTTATGTACAACATATATTCTTCCATTGAAGGAGAATCTATCTATCTACATAATATATACATATATTTCAATAAAGGTATAAACTTAGGTATATTAGCCTTAGATACAAGTTCATTATTAATATTATTATGCCGATAGAAATGATTTAATTTCTGACATGATAGTCGACAAATGTCCAGACATTGGTTTACACGTTTTAAAATGGTCATTGAGTTTTTCACAGCTGAAAAATAAAAGATAAGCACACAAGTGGTAAGGCATTGCTGAACCAAAAACATTTACCACATTATTATTTGATCCATAAAATAATCGTCATTATAAATTATTTAAATTAATCCCAGCGTGTTAAGTAAATCAAAACAAGATTTTTCTGAACGTTTCTCTGTGTAAGCCACAGCTTCTTCGTCATTGGTCAAAATTTTTATTCAAAAATCTATGTAAATTAGAGTAAAACCAGAAGAAGATCAAACTGGAAACAAAGTTTACCAAAGAAGGTAGGTTTAGTGTGATGACGGATTGTTTCTGTACGTAACAAGGTGGTTTAAACTTTCTAACGGACATGACTGTTTACCTCAGGAGGTTATTTCACCGTCTTCTTTTTAGGTAATTATTATTGATTGTTTTATTAGTATTCAAGTGTTGGTTTGTAGGGATTTGATTGGTTTTCAGGATTTCATCATGAGCTGACATTAGTTAGTCCCAGTGGCTTAATTGTATACGACTTCGCCTTGTAACCGGAAGGTCCTGGGTTCGAATCCCGGTGGGTGCATACTGATGAAGAGTCCAAAACTAGGACGAGACAGCTGTCCAGTACCCCAAGGTTTTCCAATGGCTCCCTAACTAATCTCTGACGAAATCTCAGCACGAATACAAGGGGCTCGTTTCGCATTTGTTAGTTTACGCCGACTCTGGCGTAGACGAGATGTTCGACTATCGACCAAAGGGCGGGTGTACTGCTCATCAGTCCGCTCCGTCCTCCTTTATGGCTGTGAGACCTGGCCACTGAGAGTGGAAGACTTGAAAAGACTAGCTGCCTTTGATCATAGGTGCCTGCGTTCTATTTCCCGTGTAAAGTGGCATAATAAGGTGAGCAACATGGAGGTTAGGCGTAGAGTTCTAGGTAAACAGGGGAAATCAATCGACGAAGTCGTAAAGCTACATCGACTGAGATGGTTAGGACATGTGTTACGTATGCCAAGTCATCGCCTCCCTCGACGAGCTATGTTAGCGGATATAGGGTCAGGCTGGAAAAAAGCTAGCGGCGGTCAAACAAAAACTTGGCATCAGTCAATGAAATCCACAACAGTTGGTCTTAGCCACGTAGGAAGGTGTAGACTTCCAGGCTGGGGTCCTCGGGACGGCAAAAATCTATGGTTGGAAACAATTGGTGACATGGCTCAAAATCGTTCTCAGTGGCGCAGATGCATCCACTCCCTGTGACTTATGATCTTCAATGAAACTGTTTTGTTCTTCGCTATTACTCCTTTGTCTCACACCTCTGCTCACTGTTTCTTTTATGCTTCTCTTGTACTTTCTTCTCTTGCTTCGCGTGCTACACGGAATGTGGCGACTTGAACTTCCGCACATTTGTGCAAAGTTCTATGTCGAAAACAGACAGACAGAACTAATGTCAACTTATGACGAAATCCCGAATATTTTATTAGTTTTATGATTGTTAGTTTGTCCAGATGACTTACTTCTAAGTGTTTGATAAATCTGATACAAGTCTCATCATGATATAATATCAGTTAGAGAATCAGTGGAAAACCAGCCAGGGAGTACTCGACAGCCGTTTCGTCTCATTAGTCGACCTCTTCATCAGTACGCACCCACTGGGGTCTGAACCTAGAACCTTCCGATTGAAAAGCAAGCTCGTAGACTATTCAGCCGCCACTGGGACTCAATCCAACAGCCCATGAATTCCAACTTCTGACAATCCGCGATAATATATAGCGTAACCACCACCAGTCAATGTAACAGGCGAATAACTAATCTCTTACTTGACTTGGTGAACTATTTTGGCTACGCTTACCGTATGGTATACAGCCAGACAATTAATGACCATCGCATCAATTATCAAGTGTTGGTTTGCAGTGAGTTGATTAGTTACATGTTGGATCGGTAATTCACATCAATTAATGAATCAATAGGGAACCTGTGAGTACTGAACAGCTATTTCGTCGCACTAGTTTACAACTACTCAGCATACGCATCTACTCGACTGCGAATCAAAGACCTTCCCGGTGACAAGGCCAGCTTGTAGACTGACCATTCAGTCCACTGGGACACGATCTAATGGCCAGTCCATGAATTCCAACTTCCATCACGTTTCCCAATGGTTCTCTAACTGATGTCAACTCATGTTTATACCTGTAACCAATCATATCCCTGCAAACCAATACTCGGTAATTAACCTGATAGATGATGCGTCTGTTGATTTTACAAATTTATCTACCTTTCAGGCATCTAGGAATTCCCTGGTATTTTTTTCATAGTATTTCCCTATGACTTCTGCACTTTCCCAGTCAAATTCATGTCCATAGTTGTATGCATGCATTCATATACGGGAATGGATATCATCAACATGTCATTTGACGGCCAGTTTATGTTCATGGATGAGAAGTGGAAGAGGACATTCCACTTTGATCAGTAATATATACTGCGTCAGTGGCACAGCAGTTAGGACTCTCGCAGATCATGCACATGATCCAGGATTCGATTCTAATGACACATTTACAAATAACACCACACCGTTCAGAGGATACAACCCCCCATTGAAGAAAATGGTGTGCACAGGTGTAAAAATATAAAACAAACAATAAGACGACGACGTACCATACATTTCCTCGCATATTTTCAAATTCAACAGATGCTTGGTCATCCGGTGTAAAGAAATCCAAAGAAAACAGAGTAAAGCATACACGAAGGCGAAAACGTCGTGTAGACGTTGTTACAGTAATACTGATTCACATATATGAATAAATAAATAAACAAAAACAGTTAAGATATTAATTAATTATGTGAAATAGAAGAGAGTAGGGGAATGACAAACGACTATGAGATTCTTATTACCGTGAACATTGAATTAGCAAGAATATATGGTTTGTTTGTTTGTTCGAACAGAACACCATTTCGAGGGTGGCAACAATGCCGGATGAGACGTAGTCATACACTGTTTGAAAGAAGACTGGAGAAAAATCATTGTAAGTATTGTTGTGATGAATGCTGATATTTATTCCTACACTCTTTGTTGCAATGTAACGACAGAAGACAAGAGCCAAGCAAGAGGTATTTATAGATTTTTATGAGGATTATTATTAGCGTTTCTGTTAGCAGAGAAGCAACCTCTGCTAATTTGCTCTTTTTTTGCTGAAGATTATTCTGCTATCTCTAAGTGGCCGTTTCTCAGAAAATCAACTCATATATCTGTGAATCATACTTCCACACTTTGACTCCGCTGTGATTGGCTGGTGATTTTCTCAAGGTTAACCTTTGTTCTTGCTTTCCTCATTACCCTGATTTGGGACGGGAACATTGACGTAAATTGTTGTCTACAATTTTGGCTTAAAGCCAGCTCTTACCAAAGTAGTAGTGGTGGTCCAATGTTGGTCGAGAGATAAACAATCCCTGAAATGCCAAACTATTTTCTAATATTCTCGAATCGGTTACCACACATTGTGTTATGACTTGCGAAGATTAGTTTTATGGCAGAAAAGTCAGGTTCAGAATCTGTGTGCTGACAGTCTTCGAAGGTTGCAGCTTATGATTCCTAATGTGGACACTTGACAAAGATAATGCCGCGTATCAAGTGATCCACAACAGGAAACCCGGTGAAGCCTTTAAAGTGGAGACAGCAGTAACACACAAGGCTGCTGCTTGCCAACTATCACCGGTAGTGTATTTCTGATTATGACGGACAAGCATCAATCCCTATCAGTGGGAGCAATTTGAAAGAGGTTACTTCTTTCACCTATCTAGGGAGCATTATTTCAATTACAGGCGGTGGACGGATGAGGATATCGAAACCAGACAAAATCGGAAAGGAAAGACAGAACTTCGTCGATTCGAAATCAGTACGGAAATCTTTTGTACTCAACCAGCATTAAAAACAAGATCCAGTATTTCAACGTAAATCTTAAGTCAGTCCACTCTACTCTATATGGGTCACTAACTTGGCTGCCTTCTCTGGCTTTATATATTGACGATCAAATGGCCGGTAGGATGGAATTAAAAACAACAAACTTTAGTCGTTAGTCAAAAAATATACAGAAGAAAATGGGGATGGATCAGACAAACGCTGAGAAGACCGTTGGCTGACACAATGCCCGCCAGACAACCACTCGACTGGTAACCAAATGGAAAACGATGAGTTAGGTGTGTGGCCGAAAATGACATACAGACGACAGTGTGAGGGGTAGATGAAAGCTTAAGTGCAATAATGAAGGCAGGGCCAGGTGAAGAGTAATACAATGAACAGGACAAAGTGAAGACTTCATCCTCGAATTCCTATGATCCATTCAGAACCCCAGGGAATACTACTAATAATAATGAGGAAAAAAAATACTAAAAGCATGAATATATACTGAATGACATATCTAACAAACAATATTCACTGATTCCTCTCTGTTACAAAAAACCCATAGTCAAATCGGTAAACCTAAGACTTAATACACTAAAACTACTTATAAAGTTTATAGTTAAGACTCTATCCCAAAATTATGCATGGACCAAACTTTTAAGACAGATTGAATAAATGCGTTTATATGGTGTATGCTAACTAAAGTCAGTCTATAAAGATTTATGAGTCCAAATCAATAAATGTTACTAAAGAACTGTCCACTGACTGACTGAGTTCGAACACTGAAATTTGTACAGACTTGCAACAATTCAAGCTGTCACACACCATGTAGTATACAAAAGTGGAATAAAGAGAGAGAGAGAGAGAGAAAAGAGATTCGAAAGAACAACACTTTTGTTTTAATAGTAATAATAAGCTTTATTCCAAAACAGTGTTTGCGAATACAGAATGGAATTCTCAGCATTCTACTACAGTATTCCATCCAGTTAGTACATTATCAATAAAGAAAATTCTACATAGATTAAGGAAATCTCAGTTCATTATGACAACAACTTATTAGCATGTCAGAAAAGCGAAAATTGAACAGTGTTTGAAGGTGTTAGAAAAGTAGATGCTTGCATATTTACTGGCGTAAGCGGAAGAAAGAAACAAGGCAGCACGTAGCAGAAAAAGAGAGAGCGAGAAAAGGAAAAGAAAACGTTGTACCTATAAATGATATGAGTTGGGATATGAAGTTGGGTCTACTATGCAGAAATGGGTGGGGGAGAGAGAAGCGTAACATGGATAAACATGAAAGCTCAATGGAGGTGAGAGAACGATTTACAGCCATATCACCTACTGTCTTCACAGCCATTGGTTCTGACCATTCCGAAAAACCAGGAAGTCTTCGCCTCCTTACGTGGCTGACTTGATTAAACTAACTGTTATCGATTCCATTGAGTGCCGCCGCCGTGGCTCGGTTTGACCACCACTAGCTCTCTCTCTCTCTCTTTTCTTACCTCATCAATACTATGTCAGTTAGCTAACAAAGCCGGTCGAGAAAGGCGATCGATCGATGGTTAGACAGACATGCGCAGCAACACATGTTCTAACCATCCTAATCGAAGTACCTTCACAACTATATCATCATCGATTGGTTTTCCCTTCTTACCTGGCTTTCGATCGAAGCCTAACCTCAATATTGCTCACCTTATTATTCCACCTAACACAGGAGACAAAGACAGGTAGTCAGGATTTTCATGTCTTCAACTTTCAATGGTCCCTTATGTCTCTCTCACTCACAGCCATAACGGAGGATGGAGTGAACTGGTGAGCGGTACACACATCTTCTGGTCGACAGCGAACGAACCCTCTGTATACATGATGAGATTTTGTCAGCGATTAATCTGTTGGAGTTAATGTAACTTCGCTAATAAGTGAAATGGTCAACACTCCCCATCTTTAGGCTGCGAGGAGTCGGTGTATTCCAGTCCATAAACATCACCTTACATTTGAAAGAAGCAGATCGTAGGCCAAATATCTGAAGATCTCTGCTCAATGTATTGTCAATTGACAATAAGCCACATACATGCCTATGGTGTCACAGCTAATGATACTACTACTACTACTGTCTGGCTATACAAATCCCGATAGGTGGAGCGGGTTTCACACACGCGACCCATTGGTTGAAAGTCAACAAGACGGACCAATAAAAGACACCGTTCTTCACCTACTCAGAAAGGCAAATGATGGTTTTACCTGATATGGAAGTGTAGACATCCACGATCGACAATTAAAAACTGGATTTCAACTGATAGGATAAACAATTCATAACCCATATAAACAAGATAATGACTCTTACCTATATGGTCCTGGAGGAGTGATTGGTTGGAATATAGCCAAGGATTTAGGTACTTCACTAGTACTACTATCAATACCGCTGGTCAATGATTGATAATACTGCTGTTGTCTTTGTTGTTGAAATGGCGTTCTTCGCGATGAATGTAATACCTGTGATCTATGGAGTGTTGAACGTGGTGTTTGTTCAATTAATTTTCGCAGACTTTTCGGTGTGACACACATACTACTAAACAAATGGTCATTTAGCGAGATCAATGAAAAGGCAACATCATATCTAGCCAACCATAGAGCACGTAGATCACCAGCCAACACCATATATGGTGCAATGATGAACTGAATTTGCTTAATTTAGAAAAAATACATACACATACTTTAGAAAGAAGTAATATACGCAAGCCAAACCATTTCAAAAGTACCACATAAAGTATGCTCACATTTTAGCAGACCGGTGAATTACTGAATAACAACGATAATAGCTTCATTCTAAGAAATGTTAACATATATTGAGTAGAATGTTCAGCAGAGTCTATTGCATGACATTTCCAAGATATATTTATCAAGACAAACTCTGAAACTGTGTGACTAAACTGATACGACTTGGAGCAATAATTTATACTCGATACGTAATCAAGTTGTTAATACTGAATCATCACTGTGTGGTAATCAAAATAAACTTTTCAACTATGGACTGGCATATATAAACGCCATAAATAACTAACTGTACAGCGTTGAAGTAAACTTAGTTGCGCAAAGAGGCCTATTCGCTGACTCATATGTTCTCAATGATGACATATGATTTTCGACCAAAAGAAATTATACTCTAACAACATACTTTATTTATAATAAGGTATTAATTATTTAACTCTGCTTTTCATTCCTTGGGATTGGGAGTGAAGGATCCGGAGCTTTCAGTTTTGAAGCTTTAGCAGCCTTGCTGTTGTTTCTACAGCAGAGTGGGGTTGCTATTTAGCCTTACAGCCAACCTTTCATCTTCTATGGACTTTCTATTATCAGCTAGTAAAACTAGACGAGATTAAAGAATGCGTCAGACAAGAGTCGATCTCGGACTTCCCGCAAGGCTATTGAGCATGCTACCGCTTGAGGTATCAACGCCTTTATTATTGCTATTATTGTTACTATTGCAAAAAAGATACTTCTCACCGGATTTTCATTATATGCAAACACACAGGTGTCACATGTTCTGCTGTTCACAGTATAGCACTCCATGAGATTGAAAGTTTTTAGTCACAGAAATAACTACGCTAAATTTCTGAATACTTCATATTAAAATATTACAATCAGATTCAATTTAATCTTGAGGCATGTTCATAATAGACTTCCATTGGAAATTCAACGTTAACACAATCAATTCATTTCTGATTCGCCCACATGATTGAGTTAAATGAGGCATAGACTAGTCGATATCACCTGAAAACATTGATGAAGATTGGAAGCTTTAAAATATAACTACTCTCACGGTTCCAGATTATACTCTTGGTGATGGTGGGCTGAATAAATATGAACACCTAGGTGATCACGGTTTCGCACGTAATGTAGCTGAGCTGGTCGTCATCTACAACATGTGGGTGAGGAAAGCTTATAATCTTTTAATGGACACTTTTCAACCAGTTCTTAATAACGGATGCCATTTCAGAGGTCTTATTCACTTGTCTTGTGTAATCAAAATCTAAATGCGTAGTAGTATAACTATTACTATGGCTTTGTTGGGTTACACCCCCCTCCCCATAGTAGGACATAGGGCTTAAACAGCACATCTCCATCCCCCTTCCTCCTCTGAGGGCTCAAAGATTGCCCCCTAAGTTTTCGTCTCTCACTCCTACGACTTCATCCTTGTCACTCACTGTTAGACGCCTAACTCGTCGCTAGCTTCTAATTCGGGTTTCTCTGCAGGGAAGGCTTGGTGTCTCTGCCTCTAATCAAAGGTGTCCCCAGTAAGTGCCCAACTTATCTCCATTTCTCTCTGCATATTAGTTGAGCGATAGATTCTTTGGTTAGTTCGTTGCCTAAAAGAGTTTCAAACTGATTAGTTTTTTCTGCTCGGCCATTTGATCTTCATTATCAAGACGACGCAAGCACCCTGGTGGTTGATGAAAATTAGTATCAGAAATACTTTTCGTGATTCGAGTTAAATTTCTCAATTATGCAGAAGCATTGATTGGATATTAGTGACAGAAAATTCGTTCTTATCCCTTCAAGTTACCTCTTCGTACTGGTAGAGATTTCATTTGACTACTATAGATTCCCAAGACGAATTACTCGTGTTGACATGTCATGTACACAGTGAAGCTTAGCCGCCTTAATTAGGATGATATTAGGCACCTCAGGTACTCAAAACTGAACCACATGATGGATAGAGATTATCACCTACCGAAAAGTGTTACTAATATCCCATATAAACTATACTTTTATAGAAACTTCACTGGTCAATATAGTTTTGAGTAATGGAGATTCGGATATCGAGGATCTCCATATCAGACGGATAAAGCTGATATGTTTCAAAGATTTCTTTAATTCGACACTAGCTAGTAACCAGTATCTCATGTGTCTAGTTCTTTGTTTGGTGCAGACTGGATTCTATCAGTCAAGTTTGCAATGTGGCCTCACCATGCTACATGTCTTTGACATCAATGTGCACTCTGAATCCAGCCTGCACCAAACAGAGGGCTAGGCGCATCGTCCTAATTACTAACTAGTGTCCAATAATCCAAGTATCGAATGCAGTCCCTACAGGTAGAAGGTCAATCACGAGTCCGAATAGCTCAGTGGTAACGTCTTTGACTGCAGCACCGGGTGACACACCTTCCTGACTGGTGGTGATGAGTGCCTAGGTCGAAGTCCTCCTGCCGATTGCCTCCAACCATCTAATCAGCACAACAAATCAAAGATTTCATTGAACAAAATAATATTTGGACGGTTTAGGCCACGGTCCATGAATTTGAAAAAGGAACCCAATATAATGTTTCACTACAATAAGAAATAGATCGACTTTGATAATTTGAGTTAATACGACGGACAAGTTGTTGAAACGCTTGTTTTGAAATATCACTTTTTTGACATTTTAGATGGAACATGGGACTTCAAACATTGAAGTTCCCATTCCCATCGGGCTGCACTACTAACTCCATGCTCAATCGTCCCTACGTCCGGGAAAGACAAGATTCAGGAGTCTGTGTGTGCATCGGACGATAATAATGTAACCCGAACATTCCGTGTAGCTGATGAGCACATTGTACCATCAAACCATCGTCACCACCACCACCACTACAGTAATATCAATTCATGAGAGAGAAAAAATCAAATAAAGAATAAATTTCATTTAAGATGATAATATGCCTGGTTAGCTTACTTTAATCGCCCGATCCAATGTTAAACCAATACATAGATTTCTCAATTGATCTGATCCTTGAGTACTCAAGTAGTCAATACAAACACGGGCTACAGATTCAACAGCTGAACACTCTACTGGGCAATCATCTAGTTACACGGATAAATAATAGACAATAAAAAAGAAAATAATTACTATAAGGGACAAAAAAGACAAGGGAAAACAGATGTTTCAACCAAATTCTAATAGATGCCAAATTCAATCACCCCCGTCGGATGGGAGAAGCAGTTAACGAAACTCTAAGCAGAAGAAGAAGAAGTCTTATCCGTTCTCAATGCTCAAGAATTCGTAAAATCTGCCTTACCAGTTAAAGCTGATATAGAAATAGAAAACTTTTGCATAACTCTCTTAAGCAATAGATATCCTGAAATGTTTATTGACAGAAACATTAAGAAAGAAATCGTCCCCAGGCGAATGACAGTGTCATGAAAGATAGTGTTTATTAGTTTCGCGTTGAAAGGTGACACTATTGTTGAAATAATTAAAAGTCGTTAATCCGTTAAGGCGTAACCGAACACTTCTCGGTTTTTTGTTAATGAAAGGTGAACAACATAGGATGATGAAGGCTTCAATTTGTGAACACCTTCCGGAGTCAGGTCATCCATCTGCAAGTGATTTATTTTTTACAGTTATCTATAAGACTAAATCCGATCTCCATTTATGCACAGTCGAAGATCTAACTACACATGAGCGGGAACCTAAATTATATGTTACAAAGTCATGTAATTCATCCACTTCAACTCTATCCCCTTAAACATCACGTTAATTATCTTTGTTATCATTTGTACAATGTTGATTGAGCAGTTTCTTGTGTCACTTAATGCTTTTCTCTGTAATATAAATACGACCGTACAGCTTGAAAATGAAGTCACAGAGAAGAAATATTTTTCACTGAACAAAAACTGTTTTTTCTTGTAAGTAATAATATTAATAATAATGAGAGATTACTGCAACCACTAGGTGGAATAATACTCTACAACTCCTTGTAATTCAATGCAGTTGGTAGTAAGCCACACCTATACGATGACTAGTGACACTGTGGCGAGAGCTGTCTGCTACCCAAAATTGCAGACACCAATATACGTCAATGTTTACGTCCTGAATCGGGGTCACGAGATGAAACAGTAACAAAGCCTAACCTTGAGCGACTCAACAACCAAACACAGCAGGCTTGGCGTGTGCAAATACGATTCTCGGACATATGGTCTGACTTTCAAAGAAACGAGAAAACAACCAATCAGAAGACGCTGTTTCTCTACAAATAATGACGAATAACAATGTATGTAAAAATATATAAATATCTGTTGATTTCCTCAATAAACGATCTGTTGTCTGGCCCTCATCTTCTGTCGTTACAATACTACGACCTGGCTATCACATACACACACCCGCCCCGAAACATCGATAGGTGGATAGAGGGTTTCAAACGCATCACCCACTACTAGTTGAAAGTCGACACCAATAAGCCTCAGCTTCTCCACCACTGATCATGAGATAATAAAAAGCAATTCATATCACTGGCTGTCCTTGACTGATGATGGAATTTTATCGAACAACTTTTGAAGCATGACTGCTAACTTAGAAGATATAACACACACTATGGTGTATTGTTAATTTGGCATTGGTTTTGAGATACTTTAAACTGACAGACTAATATCATCAGCACCAGAATAAGTCAGCTAAGTAGTGGACGGTCATCTGTAAGAGATCAATTCAGATTAAAATTCCCAAGAAGAATTTGACTTGTACGGTTACTTATACTTCACCGTATCACAGGATATGAAACTTTATCTAAATAAGCATGTTTACCAAAACACAGTGAACTTGCATTGGTTAAGATAGAGTGAAATAAGCCACTCAGTCAAGATGAAACCGACTAAAAAGGCTAAGGAAGTGTTCTCTTGGAAGTGTGTGGACGGTTTTTACTTCCCGGAAGTTCGTTGATTCTTCGGGTACCTGAAACAGAGAGGTTAGTGCTGTGTGACTGCAGAGCCCAGGGAACAACTTCTTGGGGCCAGTCACACAAAGCCTGTATGAACTGGTTTCTTCGTTTGCTTCCGTATTAGTAAACTTACCGCCGGTTACGGACCACCGTAGGGTAAGTCAAGATGTACAATTTCGGGGGTCGACCTTTTCTAACCCCCTTTCTCCAGAGTGGAGAAACAGCATAGCTGGCATGCTGGTCGTCTGAGGGAAACACTTCACTGCTGTTACAACCCTGTTCCCCAGCAGTACGACTTCGCCAACAGACCCTCAGCATAGGGTGTACTGCTCAGCAATCCGCTCCGTCCCCCTTTATTGCTGGGAGTGAGACATAGCCATTGAGAGTGGAAGACATGAAAAGACCGGCTAGCTGTATTTGATCATAGGTGCCTGCGTTATGTCTTCCGTGTGTGTGAAGTCTGTCTGTCTGGATTCAACATAGAACTTGGCACCGAAGTGCAGCAGTTCGAGTTGCCACGTTCCAAATAGCACACAGAGGTAGACAAGAAGATGAGTGGAGAGAATTAATAGAGTTTGACAAATATAGGAGTGAAACAGAATGGGTAATGGTAGAAAGGAATATGAAAGATTACAGAGATTGAATACATCTGCGCCATTGACAACGATTTTGAGCCATATCACCTATTGTCTCCAGCCATTGATTCCTAGAGTCCCGAGGGCCCCAACCCGGGAGTCTGCATCTCCCTACCTGACTCAGTTTAACTGTCAAGGATTTCATGGATTGATGCCATGTTTTTGTTTGGCCACCACTGGCTCTTTTCCAACCTGAACCTATATCAGCTAACAATGCCCGTCGGGGGAGGCGGTGGTTAGGCATGCGCACCACGTGACCTAGCCATCTTAGTCTATGTAACTTTATAACCTCGTCGATTGATTTTCCCTCTTTACCCAACACTCTACGCCTAACGTCAACATTACTTATTTTGTGAAACCACCTAACGTGAGACAGAGATCGCAGACATCTATGATCGAAAGCAGTCAACCTTTTCATGTCTTCAACGCGTATTGGTCATGTTTCAGAGCCATAGAGAAGGATGGAGCGAACTGATGAGCAGTACACACGTCCCTTGGTTGATAACCGGATGTCACGCCTACGCCAGAGAGTGTGTGAAGTGGTATAGTAGAGTGAGTAGTATTGAGGTTAGACTTCGGTCGAGTGCAAATTGAGGAGGGGTAATCAATCGACGAGGCTGTGAAGCTACATCGACTAAGATGGCTAAGACATATGTTACATATACCTAGTCATCGTCTCCCTCGACCGATGGGCAATGTTAGCTGACATAGGGTCAGACTGAAAAAGAGAAAGCTAGTGGCGATCAAACGAAAACAATGAAATCCACAACAGTTAGTTTAAGCCACGTAGGAAGGTGTAGATTTCCTGGTTGTGGTCTTCGCGATGGTAAGAACCAATGTCGGCTGGAGACAATCAATATAGTTGTCAATGGCTAGAGCAGATCCATCCACTCGAATGAAACTGAATTGTTCTTTGTTATTACTGTTCCTTTGTCTCATATCCCTGTCTACTGTCTCTATGATACATTTCTTCCACTTTCTACTCTTGTTTTGTGTGCAACATGGAGGGAGTGTGGTGGCTTGAGCTGCTGCACACCGGCGCTAAGTTCTATGTTGAAAACAGACAGACAGACAAACAAGGCTAAGGATCACTGGCAAATTGATTAAAAACAATACGGGAAAAGTTAAAGGATAGAAACGATCTAGGCGAACAACCTATTATATAAAACACCTAACCAAAGTAAATCAAGCAAATTTACTTAATTATTAACACTAAATTCGTTAAAGCAAAAACGTTTGACAACGTGTCAAAACAGAAAACAAGCTTTTTTCATCGAAACGCTCCGCAAGAATAACTACAAGTCCTGCATAGCAGTGCTGTTAGTTTACGATGACTGATTAACTGGTTTCAGCACACAGAACTCGTAGCACAGAAGTGCACCAGTTCGAATCACTACACTTCATGTAGCAGAAAAAGGAAGACGATTCCTAAGAATAATAATAAGCACAAATATGAGGAAGAAAGAATACTAACATGGGAAAAAATAGAATTTTACACGGAATGGCAGATCACAGAGAGTGGATGCATCTGCACCAGCCATTGACAACGATTTTCAGCCATATCACTCATTATCCCCAGACTTCATTGGTTTTTGCCATCACGAGGATGTACACCAGACAGTTTTCACCTTCGTAAGTGGCTCAAAATAACCGTCAAAGATTTCATAGACTGACTCGGAGATTTGGTTTGACCACCACAACCCTTTTCCGACATAAACCTATGTCATCTAACGCTGCAAGTCGAGGAAGGCGATGGAGTATATGCTAAGCAGGTAGAATTTCAAAATAGAAGTTGGCACTGGAAATATTGTCTACATAGACAATGGAAGTCAGTCATTTGAAGCTCCCAGCAAATAGAATACAATCACATCACTTGGAGACCCCCTTCGTCAAACCAACGCTGGACACAAATAGACCACATAGCAATAAGCTATCGTTGGCGTGGGTCGGTAGGAGATTGTCGCTCCTTCTGGAACACGTGCGTAGATACCGACCATGCACTGGTCCGCGCTCGGGTGTGCTTACGACTGAACGGACGTAGGAAACAGCTGGCGGTAAAACCATCACGTCCCCAGCTCGATCAGGAAACTAAATCCGTATATCAGGAAGAACTAGCTAAACACATATCTGTGTTCGACAGCTGTGCTCACCCTGAAGAAGCTTGGAAAAATATCCAAGCAGCCATAGATACAGCTGTAAAAGCTGTGAATAAGGTAAACCCAAAGGTGAGTAAAAACCACTGGATCTCCACCGCCTCATCCGAACTGATAGATGCTAGAAGACTTATTCCGGCGAGCTCCGAATTCAATGAGGAGCGAAAGCTGCACAAGAGGAAACTTACGAAAAGTCTCCGCAAGGACCGTGAACAGTGGTGGGCGACAAAAGCCAAAGAGATGGAGAAAGCTCTGAGGATAGGCAACACCAGGCAACTCTTTGGACTCATCAGGGAAACGGGTGGGAGAAGACAAATCATTAGTGAGACAATCTCGGAAAAAAATGGTACTATAATTAGCTCACAGGATAGACGACTGGATCGTTGGAAAGAGCATTATGAGGAGCAGTTTAATTTGCCCACAGCCACGCTCAACCTTCCGAGCATCCAACACCTCCCTGAATGGGATATAGATACAGGTCCTCCGTCACTAACTGAGGTTACTAAAGCTGTCACCAATCTGAAACTAGGCAAAGCAGCGGGACCTGATGGAATGACGCCAGAGGTATTTAAGTACGGTGGAGACAGCTTACTGTCCGGATTAACTGAGGTACTAGGCAGCGTTTGGGAATCAGAAGAAGTCCCATCGGGTTGGTGTAAGTCACTGATTATCCCCATATACAAGAAGGGAGACAAGTCTTCCTGTGATAATCACAGAGGGATTAGCTTGACTAACATAGTATTTAAAGTCTTAGGCTCAATCTGTCTGTCTGTCTGGATTCAACATAGAACTTGGCACCGAAGTGCAGCAGTTCGAGTTGCCACCTTCCAAATAGCACACAGAGGTAGACAAGAAGATGAGTGAAGAGAATCAATAGAGTTTGACAAATATAAGAGTGAAACAGAATGGGTAATGGTAGAAAGGAATATGAAAGATTACAGAGATTGAATACATCTGCGCCATTGACAACGATTTTGAGCCATGTCACCTATTGTCTCCAGCCATTGATTCCTAGAGTCCCGAGGGCCCCAACCCGGGAGTCTGCATCTCCCTACCTGACTCAGTTTAACTGTCAAGGATTTCATGGATTGATGCGTAGACTGAGTGGTGCTCGGGAAGCACAAACACGAGAGAGCCAGGCAGGCTTTAGACCAGGAAGAGGGTGTATTGATCATATCTTCACCCTCCGACAGATTCTAAAACATAGGCATTCCTACCGGCGTCCAACAGTCATTATATTTCTTGACCTAAAGGCAGCATTCGACTCTGTCGATCGGGAAGTTCTCTGGAGATGCTTGGCTGTCAAGGGAATCCCGAGAAAATATATTGCACTGATTAAGGCACTCTATTCCTACTCATACAGCCAGGTGAGGGCTTACGGCGAGCTGTCATCTGAACTGATGACCAGTGGTGTCCGTCAAGGATGCCCATTATCTCCTTTTCTATTCAACTTCATCATAGATGTGTTAATGGACTTAACCCTAGGTGACTTCAGCGATTCAGGGATTGACTTGCTACCAGGGAATAATCTCGTTGACTTGGAATATGCAGACGATATAGTCCTTCTAGGCGAAGACGCTGACAAAATGCAGAGTCTTCTAAACACCTTGAACAGCAATCTACGAATGTTTGGCATGCGATTCGCTCCCGCCAAATGCAAGATGATGTTACAGGACTGGACTACATCGACGCCTAGTTTAAAAATAGGAAGTGAAGTGGTAGAGCATGTTGACCGCTTCACTTATTTGGGAAGTACTATCAGCCACCAACGGGTTGATCTCTGACGAAATCTCAGCACGAATACAAGGGGCTCGTTTCGCATTTGTTAGTTTACGCCGACTCTGGCGCAGACGAGATGTTCGACTATCGACCAAAGGGCGGGTGTACTGCTCATCAGTCCGCTCCGTCCTCCTTTATGGTTGTGAGACCTGGCCACTGAGAGTGGAAGACATGAAAAGACTAGCTGTCTTTGATCATAGGTGCCTGCGCTCTATTTCCCGTGTAAAGTGGCATAATAAGGTGAGCAACATTGAGGTTAGGCGTAGAGTTCTAGGTAAACAGGGGAAATCAATCGACGAAGTCGTGAAGTTACAAAGACTGAGATGGTTAGGACATGTGTTACGTATGCCAAGTCATCGCCTCCCTCGACGGGCAATGTTAGCGGATATAGGGTCAGGCTGGAAAAAAGCTGGCGGTGGTCAAACAAAAACTTGGCACCAGTCAATGAAATCCACAACAGTTGGTCTAAGCCACGTAGGAAGGTGTAGACTTCCAGGCTGGGGTCCTCGGGACGGTAAAAATCTATGGTTGGAAACAATTGGTGACATGGCTCAAAACCGTTCTCAGTGGCGCAGATGCATCCACTCCCTGTGACTTATGATCTTCAATGAAACTGTTTTGTATTTCTTTATTACTCCTTTGTCTCACACCTCTGCTCACTGTTTCTATTATGCTTTTCTTGTACTTTCTTCTCTTGCTTCGCGTGCTACACGGAATGTGGCGACTTGAACTTCCGCACATTTGTGCAAAGTTCTATGTCGAAAACAGACAGACAGACAGACAGACATCAAAACCAATCCACGCGAGCAACAAAACTTCTCTTATATTTCAAAGACAGAATGAAATGTATTCCTTGGTAGAAATTGCAATTCATGGATAATTCATCGCATCAGATCCCAGTGTATGAATAGTCAACCCAGGACATACTGATGAAGAGTTCCCAACTGGGACAAAACAGTCGTCTAGTACTTCCTGCGGGTTTTTAATACTTCTCTAGTTAACATCAGTTGGTGATCAAACTTGAAACAAATCAAATATCTACATGTTAACTATTCAAAAAAAAAGTTCCATAATTCCCGAACACCATTCATTATGCATTAATACCCGATTGGATACTATACTACAGGATCATTGGGATCGGATCGTTTGTTCAGATCACTATTCTCTTCAACATCAAGTCACACAAAAAATTTACTTCAATCGATTTCTGAGACTTACTCATAAGAATTGTTGACTTATTCTGTATGGAAAACAGAACTAGAGAATGACAACTTAACAAACAGATAAAGCGCTTCGACAATTTAATTTTAAAAATTGATTGAATGGAGTGGATTTGAAAATCAAGTTGAAAGTGATGATTCTATGCACACCAATGAAGTTATACGCATATATACATGCAAGTACCGATTCAAATATAATTTTATTTAAGTTTGAGCACTTTTATAGAAGGCAAAATGATAAATAGTGCTGAACTCAGTGATAGAGATGAAGAGAATTCGGAACAAGGTTGATGAATATTTGGTATTCATATTGCTTAACAAGCAAAAAACAATAAAGTTGGTAGCAGAGGACACCGACAGCAAACATAGGAGTCCGGGTGAACATAAATAAGGCGAAGGTGAGAAAGATAACCAACCAACAACGATAACAACAAGCAATAATTAATATTAGAAGACGAAACTTGAAAGTGGTCCTTTTCTTCACTTATCAAGGCAGTATCGTATCAACTACAGGCGGATGACACGGGTGGGTGGGGAGATGTCAAAACCAGTCAGAATTCGAAAGGCAAGACAGGCCTTAGTCACTCTGTCCAATCAGTTTGGGAATCTTCTCTACTCAACATAAAGGACAAGAATCGAATTTCCAACACCTATGTTAAGTCTTTCAGTTCTCTTATACGCATCATTAAAACCATTTCTAACAGGTCTCTACAGTCTTTTGTCAATGACTTCCTATTTCCCTCCATATTAAAGATCAGTCGGGAGGAGGAATCAATGACAAGAAACTCTGGGAGCGAACCAACCAAGTACCTGTTGCTTAACAAATATTCCGAAGAAAACGGATGGAGATAGATTGGAAACACGCTGAGGACACCGTTCAGTGACACTGTACGCCAGACCAATGCTCGAGTGGAACGCAGATAAGAAACGGTTAGTTGGGCGTGTGACTGACGGTGGTATGGAGAAGATCGTGTGAGGAGGCGATGACAGAATATGGGTCATCGTGGGGTCAGCTCAAGCGGACCTCAGAGAATAGAACAAAGTAGAGATGGATTGTTGAAACAATGATAACAACTGATACAATTCCTCAGAAGTGGCTTCAAAAATAAAATTAAAAATTACGTATTACTCAAAGGAACAAAGGAAGAATGCGTTAAAAATTTGATGAGGTTAAAGAAATATTAACAGTATTAACTGTCACCCCTCTATACCCGATAATGGAATAATGTACGTTTTTTGGTAAATGTTGTTTTCCTTCATGTTCCCAGTGAAACATAGGGCCTCAAGTCAGTGGCTTGAAGTTTCTGTAGCAGTGTTTAATTTTACAGGATGGGGTCGCTAGCCTCATGCCTAACCTTTCCTCTTCACTAGCATTATTTTTGGCTCAGCGAGGTAAGCGAGTGCGTCGGTCGGGAATCGGAACCCGGACCATGTGCATGGTCAGCGAGCGTCCTTACCGCTGTGCCACCGACGCACATTTTTTGGTAAATACAATAATAATAAGAAGAAGAAGAACAAAAGGAAACAAAAGAGTTAGTTGTCTATATCGCAGAGTTAACAAAGTCAGAATCCAGGGGGTTCCTTGAAAATTGACCTCGTAATACAGAGGTTGCATGTTCCATCCCTGTGAGGAGTCCCAAAATGAGACGAAACGGCTGTCTAGTGCTTCTGGTTGGCTTTCAATAATCTCTACAGTGTAACTTATGCCGATTTTTGACGAAAAGCTAGCTATGGAAATCAATCTGAAATCACCACAAACCTAATAGTCTGATAATAATAATAATAATAATAATAATAATAATAATAATGTTCACATACCATCATCTGGAGAAGCAACTTGCAACTTTGTTACCTTCAGGTGTTTTAGACTGAGTAAATTTTGCTCATCCCCATTTTGACCATCGGAAACATGATTGATAGTGTGAAGGGAAGATGGAGGAGGAGAGGGAATATCGCAAACTTGACAGGTTAAAATGAAATTCACTAATCCCAATAATGTTGTCAATTCATAAACATGATTTTTAGATGATTTCAGTGTAATACGAGACGGTGAAAGTCTGTTGTATCACCAAAGGAAGAAAATAAATAACAATTAATAATATCTCTTTAGAAAATTGTATTAGGTAATAAATAACAGAATGAAATTGTCTAAAGGTAAAGTGAAAAGTCGTGACCAGTCGGGGCTGGGGGGCGGTCGTCCCACACTTGGATGTGACAACAAATACCCACCGATGATACATTGATTGGCTACCCACGCACGGTCTGGCGCATAATCCATTGGTCATAGCAGGTGATCAGTCGCCTCTTACTCCTGTCTCCACTTCAAAAGCTTCGCTAAATTTTTCATTGTGGATCCGTTTCACATGTAGCATTGTCATACGGCTAGCTGTTGAATGAGGTTGACGTTATTATTATTATCATCACTGTTTCCTTTAATATCTAGAGGAACATAGGGCTTCAGACGCACATCTCCATTGCATTCGGTCCTCTGCCAACGTTTTCATCTGCCCACATGCTTTCATCTCCTCTTCACATTACCTCCTCCACGTCACTCCACCCTACACACAGACTTGAGAGAAATGAAAGTTTACCTTGCTTTCCCGATCCTCGCTGTTGTGATATCCTTATCAGTTCCGTCCGCCTGTAGTTGAAACGATGCTTCCCAGGTAAGTAGGTAAAAAAGGAGGTTGCTTCTTTCAGATCCCTCCCATTTATGCTGGCTAATTTTTGTCTGTTCTAGTTGTAGTTGGCCAGGAATCTTCATCATCTACCACTGTTTTCTCTATGTTCATCTGGAGTAAGTCCTATCTTTGATGCTTCTTCCGCCAACTCGTTGCTTTTCACTTGCATATCTTCCGGTTTGTGGTTCATGTTAACATACAGAAATCTGATTTATAACAACTATTCATTAGAATACCCTCCTCCCCCTCCTTAAGAGCACTTGTGGAATACAACCAATCCGAAATCTTACGTGAAATACCCCCCATCATTGTCAGTCTAAGGGCTTAAATTACCTCAGTCAAAGAAAAACAAACAAACAAACAAGGTGAAACGGTGAACAATCTACCAATTACTGCGAAATACTAACAGACTAACTGGCTAGCTGAGTTTCAACATAAAGCTTCCACAAAGAACTCCATAACCAGATAACGTTACCACAATACACAGAGGACAAAAATGGAAGAGGAAAGAAATTTATGGGAGATAGAATAGCAACATGAGGAACTGGTTACAGGATTTTATCATGAGCTGACATCATCGGTTAGACAGACCAATGGAAAACCTGCAGGGAGTACTGGACAGATAGCTGTTGCATCCAACCTAGTTTCGGACTCTTTATCAGTACTGATCCATCGTCAGGGTTCGAACCCAGGACCTTCTAGTTACAAGGCTAGCAAGCTCGTAGACCATCAAGCCACTGGGACCCGATTTAATGGCCCATAAATTTCAAATTCTGCCAATTCACGACATAGCGCGTCCGCTAGCCTGTAACCAATCAATCAAATCCCTACAAACCAATGCTTGGACACATCAGGAATTATTGGATCTTAGTTATTCATTACAAACAGTGAATACACACACACACACACACCTGAACACTATTAATAGTCATGGTTTTGAAAAATAAACCATAAAGGAATGTTAAACAAGGCAGAAATCACACACACATATATATATACACAGTTATAAACTCAAAACAACTCACAAGTTCATAATTTCTTCTTTGAATGTGGAATCATGAATATCACCCATAGCGTTCCCATTTTTATTACTATTGTTGAAATTATTCCCTCCACCAAATCTACAATCATTTTGATTATAGGGCGATGATGTTGATGATGGCGGAAATGATAATTTAATCGGGACAGGGAATAATTCTGTACAACCGACACTTCTATTTAATAAAAGTCTTGAGTTACGCCAGTCGTTATTGGCTCGCTTCACTTCTCTACATTCTTTCAACTTTACTTCTAATAATTCTTTCTTTTGTAAGAGTTGCTTATTTGATTCACGTAGTTGAGTTTGACGATTTTTGGCATCTATTATCTTTTGATCCGCTTTATTCAATTCTCCATGATAATAATAATAATAATAACAATGAGATCTTCGAAAAATTGACATTACTAAACAAGGAAAACATCCTGTTCCAAGTTTGATCACGTATCAATATCAGTTGGAGAACCATTGGAAAACAGCTAGGGAGCACTGGACAGCTGTTTCGTCCTAGTTTGGCACCTTCCCTCAGTACGCACCCACCCTCGTCAGGGTTCGAAACCATGATTTCCCGGTTTTAAGTCAAGAGTGTATACCATTCAGTTACTGGGAGACGGACGACTCAATGGCCACCGTATGAATTCTAACTTCTCCCAACTCGTGATTTTAGCACCATCACCAACTAATGTCACGGTTGAGTATTTACCTTTACTCTCGACCCGGTTGGACACCACGGGACTTCTCACTCGAACTGCAGGCAACTTTTTCCTACAACCAGTCACTAATGAGCATCAGATTAATTTTCAAAAGTTTCGCTGTAGGGATTTGATTTTATCAATGGCTGGTGCTCGCGCTAAAATCACGAACTGGTCGAAGGTGGAATTCGTTGGCCATTGAGCCGCGTACCACCAGTGACTGAATGGTCCAAGTGCTTGACTTCTACTTGACCTTGGCGGCCTGTTCGAATTTTTGGGCCTGCTACTATAATATCTACATTTCGCATCCAGTCTACTGTTTACCAACATACATTTATCACCTAAATATGAATTCTAACAGAATCATTTACTCTCGTAACTTTATTAATCATCTACGACCAAATGACTTTCATATTCCAAAGAAACCAAGGAGGAAACATCGTAGTGGTTGGCAGAGAGCTCTCAGATGTACACCAATACACTTAACTACGATCCCCGTCATAATGAACACAAACTGTCGCTCTCTGCCAAACAAGATAATGTACCTACAATCCTTGATGTCAACTGATACGTATCATAACACCGCCATAATCACATTACAAGAAACGTGGTTGCATGAACTGTATGATGACAACCTTATCTCACTAAAGGACTTTATTTTATTTCGTCAAGACCGTCAATGTTGTAATAAGAAAAATGGTGGTGGCGTTGCAACTTTTATTCACTCCAAATGGTCTGTCTCAAATAACGTCTGCTTCACCTTCTCAAATGACTTCATTGACTGTATTACTGTCAAATGTCGCCCCAAACATCTCCCCAAATATACACAAATCTATATTACAAACATGTACATTTCTCCTAGCTGCTCTCCGTCTGATCTATCTAATTTTGCTGCTGCCAACTTCGACAACTCTCTATCCGTTATTACTGGAGACTTCAACACATCAGATTGCTCCTTTCTTGAAGCACTTGGTCACACAAACATAGTCAAATATCCCACTCGATTTGACAAAACACTTGATCTAGTTTTTACTAATGACGAAGGAGTATATGAAACACGTAGACGTTCACCGATACTTAACTCCGATCGCTGCATTGTCCGCGTTTTACCAAAAATATACAGCAAAACACATATTAAAATCTTCTCACACCTGTCTACGATAGCACAACAAAGAAGCTACACATCTGACAACCTACTCAATCTAAGATGCATGTTAAAAGATACTAACTGGGATCTATTCTATGAAAGTACATTAGATGACTCAATCACCAATATAATGGATTATCTCAAGTTCTGCCTCGACCGCTTCTCGTTTCCCCATCTCAAACAACTTCGCAGGCAAAAAGAAATGTTATATAAATGCAAAGACAAGTTAGGACTTAAAAAGATTAATGCTCAAATCAAATCTGAAATCAAAAATCTTAATGCTATCTATAACCAAACACTTTTATCATGCAAATCTCCTATCAGCATGTGGAAATTTTTCAATGAAATTACTGGCAATAGTAAGCGATGTAATGTTTTTCCCTCTTGTGATGTTAATGCTCTTAATCTGTCTTTTATACGCTCTCCTTCTACTATAACCACTTCTAACGTTACTAATCTTGTAGCTGATAACTTCCAGGACTTTAACACTCTTGATGTTTTGAAATGTCTTAAAACTCTTAAGCCCTCACATAGTCTTGGCCCTGATGGCATACCTGCATATGTTCTAAAACAATGTGCAGATGCTTTATGCTCTCCTCTAACTAATATCCTAAATGCTTCTTTCTCCGAAAACGTTGTACCTGTTCCATGGAAAGACATTAAAATAGTCCCTGTCCCTAAACCTGGCAATAGCAAGAACGTAAAGTTCAGACCCATTGCCATCACTTCCCCGTTTCTAAAGCTCATGGAAAAACTAGTACTTCTTAAACTTGAACCCTCCCTTAAAAGCTTCGAAGACCCCAAACAATTTGCCTACAGACAGGGTAGGAGTACTTTAGACGCTGCAGCCGTCTTACACAACAGTATTGTCTCATCATTAGACAAAGGTGCCAAATATGTCCGCTGCACGTTTCTTGACTTCACTTCTGCTTTCGACTCTGTACCTAGATGTCTCTTGCTAAATAAGCTCTCCATGACACAAACCGAGTCCTGGGTCACTAACTGGTTGCATTCCTACTTTTCAAACAGAATGCAGTACACCGTATACAAAGGCCAATCCTCCTCTGCTGTGCTCACTGAAGCTGGTGTCCCCCAAGGGGCTGTACTCTCCCCACTTCTCTTTTCATTCTTCCTACATGACCTACCATCTTCAAATGACATTAACTTTGTCAAATATGCTGATGACCTAACTGTATCTTTACCTGTCAAATGTCAAAGTGACTGCTCTAAACTAAATGGCTTCTTATCAGAAATCAGCCAATGGTCCAAGGAAAACGGTCTCACCTTAAACCCCTCCAAATGCCAAACAGTTAATTTCACCTTTAGGCACAAATCTGACCTAAACAAACTGGTTAGGACTCACGAGATGTGCAACATAGATGGCACTGAAATTGAAACCAAGTCGGAAATTAAATACCTAGGCGTCACTCTATCTTCTGATCTTTCCTGGTCGTCTCATATCTTGACGATTTCCAAGAAAATATTCCGTCTTACCTTCTACATCAAGAAGTTAAGACATTCTGGTGTAACCCAACCCTTACTCCTACAATTTGTTAACTCTCGTATTCTGCCTATTATTCTCTATTGTTCCCCCTTAGTCTTTCCTGGGCTATTGAAGAAAGACTATACCTTATTACGTAGGATGTTAAAGGTTGTCAGCAGGGTAAGCAGTTTGCCACTTAGCCAGCTAGTTAATATTCTGGTGGACAGGCATATGGACTCATGTGAAAAATGGGCGAAATCCATTTTATCTGACTCACAACACCCTCTACATTCACAACTCTCCCCATGTATCTCTTCAGGGAAAACAAGAAGCCTATATAGGAAACTATATGCCCGCACTAGCAAGTACAAAAACTCATCCATACCCTACCTAGCTCGAGTTCTGTGCGATAAAGAAAGCATTAGGCGTGAAACCTTTAACTTATTAAATAGTCAGTAGAACAACTGGATCTCGTCTTTCCAAGTCACATCATTTACAGGTACAACGTTTTCTCTCTACATTTTTTTTGTTAGTGCGTCGGTGGTATAGCGGTTAGCACGCTCGCCGACCATGCATATGGCCCGGGGTTCGATCCCCGGCCGGCGCCGCACTCCTTTACCTCACCGAGCCAGAAATAATGCTGGTAAAGAGGAAAGGTTGGGCATGAGGCTAGCAACCCCATCCTGTAAAAATTAAACACTGCTACAGAAACTTCAAGCCACTAGCTTGGAGCCCCATGTTCCACTGGGAACGTGAAGGAAAAATTATTATTATTATTATTTTGTTATGTGTTGTTTTTTTTCTCTTTTCCTTGCAAACTCTACTTAAAACATTCTTGTTCGTTCTTTCACACTCTGTATATCTTGACCATTTTGCTATCGCTTACGCCAGTAAATATGCTAGTAGTATCTACTTTTCTAACACCTTCAAACACTGTTTAAATTTTGGCTTTGCTACCGACATGCTAATATGTTGTTGTCAAAACTGACTGAGATAACCTTAATCTATGTAGAACTATATTTATTGTTAATGTACTAACTGGATGCAATATTGTAGTAAAATGCTGAGAATTCCATTCTGTATCACAAGTACTGATTTGGAATAAAGCTTATCTTATCGTATCTTAAAGGTCCTGGGTTCTAAACCCAGTGGGCACGTACTGAGCAGGAGCCTCAGACAGCTGTCCAGTACTCCCTGGTTTCTAGTGGTCCTCTAACTGATAACCATCCGTGACCAAACTTAAATCAAAATCAATTCCCTACACACAAATTCATGAAAAGAATATTATTTTCGATTTCCTCTTCATGAGATTCTACAGTTATATGCATCCATAATTATAGTTATTCTCTCCAATGGAGAGTGGAACATGGTGGGTGGTTACCAACAATGAGCCGTTTAACTTTCTGATTTCTGCAGTCTTTCTTAGTTTGGCTCCACTATTACCCATACGTTTTCAATACCTTCTCCTCCTCATCACACAACATAGGATTCAATATTTTCATTTTCTCTTGCTCCACTAGAGACTGACATATGGTTGATAAGTTTATCACTTCTCTCCTATTTATTGCATTCCATGTGGCTAAAGTATACAAGGCTTCAGATGTCAACCTTTCTTCATGTGTTCAAAGAAAGCCTCTTCCTGGAATTTCGACAATGTCGAAATCAATCTTAAATCCACTGTCCATAGATAGCATACATACATTGCTATAGCTGATCTTTTCTCTAGACTTTTTAATTCTATTTCATTTCTAGGTGGACGTTTCATGCACAGTCTTTTATTCTTTCATTCACTTTGACCTTCACCTGTCTACTGCTCTCCCTCATATAGCAAGCCTCACATTCTCAACACTTTATCGTATACATAGAATTGTTTTGCATCATTTTGGGAGCCATATCCAATTGATCAATACAAAACATGAACGCAATATGAAGTCAGCATTTCCCTCTCTCATACACACACGCAAAATATACGCCTCTTCTAAACAGTAGTAGTCGATGGTAAAACTTTTCACTCACTTTGACGCAATTCTTTAGCATACTTTTCCAATTTTTGTAAATCTTTCATTTCTAAAATAATACCAATGAAATAACAATAATGATTAGTATTAGGATTTAAGAGAATTATGCAATAAACTGAACTATCACTTACTCTGGGTAACAATCATATTCTAAATACTCCTATATGCAACATAAACGAAAGATACAGTATACAGGTGTTGCACATACGTGTATTTTGACTTATATAGTAAAACAGCAGATGCCTTAGGTAAGGAGGGGATTTCTGAATCCCTGTGTCAGACTAGTAGATCCAGGATAGTCAGATTATCAGAACATAAAAATTTAGCAAAGATAAGAATGGTTGATCCCACGAAGATAAGTAATTCAGAAAAATAGGTCAGGAATCACACTGCATGCATTAACGCACACAGCCTAGTCTGACCTATGTAGTTGACCTGACGCACAATCATTGCAACGTGTTTAGTAAATTATATTAGGTAGGTGGAGAGAGACAGAGAGAGACTGATTACTGAATCCCGCCTGGTCCATCCAGTAAATCTACACCCAACACAACACATGAAACAGAAATGACTCATTGCAAATGCCAGAGATATGGAAGATATCACTACCACCAGTCAGTCAAATCATCGGAGGATAATAAATAATCTTAAAATTCTATTTCAATTCACACACATTATAACATTCTAACAAGTTACTTATTTTGACTATGAAAACACTCGTCTTGTTTCTCATGTGATTGTACTTGATTGATAACACTGATATTGATATTCCCGAATGTACTTTATCTTGTATTGACTTTATTCACATGTATAATCATCAGGTTTTACTCATGTATATAAATGAAGCACGAGAGTTGTGTGAGTAGCGCCTTCATATGATTATGAGTGGCAATACTTTGTACTCGAAACGTCATCATCAGTTAATATTACTGTATAACACTGTGATTTATCAAAATAAAATGTTATCCATAATGAAGTTATACTCTACCACCACAGTGACCAAGTTTTATACTTATTTCATGCTTCTTGTTGACTAGATTTCATGGACTGATGCAAAGTTTTGGTGCTTCGACCACCACTAGTTCTTTTGGTCAGATAACATTGCTGCCCGACAAGGAAGGGGATGGACTGACTTGCATAACACATATCCTAGTCATCTCAACACTATATGCCTAACTTCAGTATCACTCACCCACCACCTAACACGGGAAATGGAACACAGACACACAGCTAGCCTTTTCATCGGTATTACATTCAATCGCCGTGTCCCACAGCCATAAACGAGGACGGAGCGAGCTAGTGTGCAGTACACATGTGCTTTGATCGACAGCTGTCTCCACGCCAGAGATCGAGTAAGTTGGCGTATGCTTTACGAACCCTTTTGTATCCCAAACTAGTAGTCTTTATAACATATGTACAGCAAATATATAACGAATAATTACCCAATAAAAAACGACATCAATAATAATTATACAGCGTAACTATTTAGGAATAAGTGTGTCGCAGTGCCTAGAGATTTCGACTTCCAATTCGGGGGATGTCTTAGGATCGAATCTCATCCCACATAGCTTAGCTTAGTCGACTACCACACAGCAAGTGTGGCACACAGTCTGGAACATGACAATTCTTACAATTACAAGCATCCACAAATACAAAAATGAAAAAATTTAGTCACCAACTCACTTTTTTGGAGTTTCTTGTATTTATCTTCTTTTTTCTTTAATTCTGCTTGAATTGTATTATCTATCACTTTCAGATGTTCAATTTCAGACTACAATCAATAATACACGTAAAGAGAAATATCAGTCACAGAGATTTGATCTAACCATCTGGATCAATAATTTCAAGCAGAATCAAGGAGAATGCATGCACAATAATAATAATAATAATAATGAAGTGTGAAACTAAGATTAATATATACAACTGTAGCACAGTATAATGATGATAATGAAGTTTTATTTTCTTTATTATTAGTTTACATTCCCAGTAGAACAAGCTAGAGCCAGCTTGTAGTTTTGGTAGCAGTGGTGATTATTTTCACAGGATGGGGTTGCTAGCCAGCCAGCCTCATGCCCAAACTTCCCTCTTTACCAGTCTTATTACCGGCTTATCGAGGTAAAGGAGCGAGTCGGTGGCCGGGAATCGAACCTCGGACCATCTGCGTCTTCGGCAAGCACTCTACCACTGTGCCACCGACGCACATAATGAAGTTAGAAGTACAAGTAAAAACAATATTCACAGACAACTGACGTGACCGGGAAAGACCACTCTTCTAGATTGGAAAGGGATTGAAACAAACATTTTGTAAACAAAAAGATTTGATTGTTAAAAAATTTCATGGCGACTGTTTCAGCTATGCTTAGCAATCGAAGGCGCGTACAAACTTTGGGAATTGAGGTGGCAGCTTGTACAGAGTAGTAAATACTGAATTTTCTTTATCAACTTTGTGCTGCTTATCCACCAGTGGGTGAGCCAATATGGAACTCTTGATTGAGCTTTCGACTACTACTCCTTTACTTAATTAGTCACGTTGGACAATCATCAAGAAGGCGACAGTGGGCCTGTCGGGTCGTTCTGCCTGCGTAACTGTCTCTATAGGTATAGTTAAATTTATCAATGCACCTTGAGTTGGCTAGACTCGATAGCTTATCCTTCATCTGCATTGGAATTATACGAGTGGTGAATTTCAAAACGTGTTTCATTGCGCCATTCGACAGTGTATCTCGGTACCACACATGCACAAATAGTCAGTTGCACTTGTTGTAACCTGCTGCAGTGGATGAGCAGCCTGCTTTGACTGGGATAAGGAAATTAAGCTGAATCCCTTCAAATCGATTGAAAAAGAAATAAGTCTATAAGTAAAAAGGAATGAAAAACGAGAACAATAACAAAGAAGACTATATGAAGCAACAACAACAACAACAAGAGGAATATATTACCTTTAATTCTGAATTACGAGCAGCCATATTCTCATCCACAAGTTGATAGTATTCTCGTTTAGCTAATTTAAAACAATTATGCAACCGTTGATGTAAACCAGCCACAAATTCTAAATGCTTAAAAGAAATAGAAAGAATACATACAAGATGATTCATTGATAATGTAAACAGGTGAGAAATTTGGCGAATCACACTAAAAGCAATTTCCAACAGTCTGCTGTAGACCTTCATCAGCAGCTGCCTCCTTCGCTGGCTCCAAATACTGAAGACCACATGGCCGGCCAGAAACAATTAACAACAAGAAAATATCGGGAAAAAAACCAATCAAGAACCTATTGGTCAACAAATATTCCAGGAAAATGGATGGATAAAGATCAGATATACACGCTGAGGAGAAAGTTGGATGAATGACGTGTCAGACCATAGCACAAGTGGAAACCAAATGGGAAACGATGAGTTGGGAATGGGTCCAAGAATGACATGGAGGAGGCCGTGTGAGGAAATGAGAGCTTGTGGATAACCGTGGGGTTAGATGAAGAGAACTGCTGTGTACAGCACCAAACAGGGACGTGGTATTCCACTCGGAATCCAAGAGAATAACAATAATAATGAATTGCTGAAATTACTTTGATATGTTCGATGAGCTAATCATAGTCAGCGGGAGGTAGAATCTTTTCTGTAAAAGTGTTTCTCCTAAGACTAGGCAAACATAAGCTTTCTGTCTGGTAAATCTTAATTATCAGATTCACGTGACATGGGTTTCTTCAAATCAATCAATATCAGGTGGACATGAAGCTTTGATACGATTAGTAGAAGTTGGAAAACAACAACCCTGTTTACAAATACACTAATAAGCACATGAGATTCAGGAACCAAGAGGAAAAATGGCTGATAAGCTTCTTGACCAACTGACTGATTTCAACATAGAACCTCGTACAGAAGTGCACTAGTTCGGGTTACCGCTCTCCAAGTATCACACAAAGCAAACCAAAATGGAGGGAAAGAAGAGATTCAGGAGAATGATAATTAGCAGAAATGTGAGGAAGAAAGAGAAGTAATATGGGAAAACACGAAAATTTAACACATATGAGAGATTACAGAGAGTGAATGCATCTGGGCCAGCGCCATTGACAACGATTTTCAACCAATTATCTCCACATCCATTGATTCGTATCATTCTGACGACCCCAACCCTCCTGCGAGGCTAGCTCAAATTAACTGTTAAAGATTTCACGAACTGATCCCGCCATGTTTTTGTTCGACCACCGCTAGCTCTTTTCCAGCCTGATCCTATATCAGTTAACATTGACCGTCGAGAAAGACAATAGCTAGAACTGTCGTGGGCATCGATGAACATAAGGATATAATCATCCATGATGATATTCTTACTGCTTTATTGAATACAGCCAAGGCAAATTTAAAGAACAGATTTTTATTTTTATTTTTTTTTATTTTTGATTTACAGCTTGATTCCACACTGTATTTTCGGTACAAGTATGGAATTTTCAGCATGGATATAGGTAGCCCAAATTTTGCAGGCCGACCATAGATATCAGATGTGCGTCGATGCGGGCTCGAACCCCGGACCATTTGCATGGTCGGCGAGAGTCCTAACCACTGTGCCACCGACGCACAAGTGCAAACACACCAATGACGGTGAAGCCTACAACTGTGATAAAATGCGAATTTCAGTACATTACTCAACCAAGGATCTAACTTTAAACTAACCAGCCTTCGTGTTTGGTATTCTTACACCGCTTTCAACACTTTTTTTAACGGAATACAGCGTTATTTTCACTTGGTTTCGCTGTCTTGCATCTGGCTGGACGTTTCAAGGGTGTTGGTGTGTTCGCCCCCTTCCCCCCACCTAGAGTATCTATCCCTTTATGTTTGTCATAGAACACTGTAGTGAGTGGTCCCCTAAGTAACACACCAGCTGAGATTTGTGCATTCGAAAGTATTCTATCCTCCTTCTCCCACTCTCACACACACAAACTATGGGACAATAAATTAATGGTTGGTAACGATGATCATCAAACTGCGTCAGTGGTTCAGAGGTAGGATGCATGCCAATCACGCCACACCTGCTCCGGGGGTCAATCTTCAATCGACGCACTCCTAAACCTCGTCAAGTCAATAGTAGTAGCTGAGCGAAGAGAGGGAAGGTTGAGCGTGAGGTTAGCGGTCTCACTCCGTGAAAATAAAACCACTGCTACAAGAACTTTAGGACTCTAGATTGAAACAGTATACTCCACTTGGAACGTTAAGGAATAAAGATAATCAAACAGCAGCATGATAATAATAGATAAACATTTCGGTGATGCGCTTAAGGTAAGGACTAACTCCTCATCAAACTTATTAATTAGAGAATCTCCATCAGTTTTGGTGATCACAATACATGGTGACACTTTGAGACAATGTGGACATGGGGAGAAGTGGATGGGATTTTCTCAGTATACATCGGGAAAATCAATTTATTTACCTGTTCATAGAGAGCAGGAGAACGCAGAGAAGATGGAGGTGATGAAGACAACCAACGAACAGCAGCAACAACAGAGGTTACCTCCTTCACTTATCTGGCTAATAAGATCGTTCCAACTACAAGCGGAACAGACGAAGATGTCAAAATCAGAATCGGATAGGCAGGATACGCCCTCATCAACCTGAAACCAGTTTGGAAATCTTCCGCACTCAGCCGCATAAGGAACAAGATTCGCAGTTTGAACACCAATGCGAAGTCGGACAGTGCTTCTATAAGGCTGAGAAACTTGCACTGCGTGTCAGTCACGAAAAGGATTTCCGACAGCTTATTGCAGACTTTTATCAACAATTGCTTTAGCTGGCTCCATAGTGAAGATCAAGTGGCATGCCAGAAAGAATAAGCAACAAGAAACTATGAAAACAAACCAACCAACAGCCGATCGCTCAACAAATACGTAGTAGAAAGTGGAGATGGATCCGCAACACATTGAGGAGGCCGCCAAATGACATCACACGCCAGGCCATCGCTCGAGTGGAATCCAAATGGGAAGTGACGAGTGGGTCGTTGGTGAGAGGGTGACATGAAGGAGATCGTGTGGCGTGGTAGAGATGAGAGAGCTTGGTCAGTCGTGGACCTAGCTGAAGAGGACGGCAGAAAACAGAACAAAGTGTACATGTATTGTTGAAGCCCTCCTATGTTCCACTCGGAACGCAAGGGAATATTAATGATTTGAATAATAATAATAATAACATTAGTAATAATAATAATAGAAAGCAAATACTTTACCTGATCAGCATTCATTTCAGATATTCTTTTCATGACTACATTTATATGAGGTGAAATCGATACAGTGCCAATTCTTTCTTGATTTCTAAAGAATATATGATAGAAATATAAGCTTCTTTAAAACTGGAATAGGTTTAGGCACAAGAAAATAAGTGTGGCACGGCACTGGCTGCCGGTTGCACCATTTATAACGAATTGACAGAAGCTAGAAGTCATAGGACATTAGATTCCATCCTGGTGGATGAATGAGTGAATGAATGAATGGTCAACAGGTTGATCTTTTAATAATCTGAAGGTCCTGGGGGTTTGATCCCTGGCAGTGGTGCGTTGGGCCATGGGTGCGTACTGATGAAGAAGTCCAAACTGGGACGAAATACAGATAGTTGTTCAGTACACTCTAATTTCAATATCTCTCTAACTGATTTCCCAGCTGGTGATCAGACTTCAAAACAACTGGAACACGGTCAGATGCCATACTTCCCAGTAAAACCACCCGTAGTATTGTTGTCATAATTCTTGAATCCTTCTTAAATGAATCTATCGGGTGATAAATATCATAATTATTTGACTGTTTTTAACAACTAACAATCGGTACTAGAATGATTCAGTAGAATGATGGCTGAAAGTGTTTGCAGCGGAACATAAGGCTTCATACTTTGATGTCTTAATATCTATGGTATTGCTTATACACAGGGCGTGGGACTGTTAGACTCATGCCCAACCTTTCTCTTTTTTGAACTTCCTACCGGCTAGTAAACTACGTCGGAGGTCGAACCCTGGATCAATTGTATGATTGACAAGCATTCTACCCAATAAACCATCGACCATATTCTGGTTTAGTGTTAGGAATCACTGAGTAATTATTTAAAGCCACTTTGACTTTCCCATTGGTCGATTGAACGGAAGTGTTCGGTCTCTGTTGACATGTCGGCTCCCTGTGCAAATGTTTCGACGCTGTCTGAGGATTTAACACGGAGTAATTTGGTGGATGGTGACTCTGACAGTGGAATCCAGGGTGCGCATTTCGTTCCATTTGGGACCCGTCAAATTGAATAAAATTAAATAACTGATGCCCGTCGCGCAAGAGAAGGCTCTCATGACCCAAGTAGTCTAGTGGATAAGGCTTTGGCGTTTGAAATGATACGTAACAGGGTTCCAGCCTCAGTGGGAACATCATCACTCACTAGGAAATGCAGGCACATCCAGCTGACGAGTTCCAAATGGCATGAAATGTGCATCCTCAGTTCCACTGCTAGTCACCGTCTACCAAATTAGAATTTCAACGATTAAAAGTGATTATTTGCATCATGTCAGTAAAAATTTCCAACCATTGATTGTTTTCTGTTTAGCATTCTTAGAACCACATGTCAGGTAACACATACTGCACCCCCGCCCTGAAATCGATGAGAAAAACAGTCACAAAATTCATACTATGGTGGTGCCATACATAATTATTTCTGATCACTTCAATATCATAATTGATCATAGGCAACATTATTCACAAAAGGAATGTATTACCTAAGGCAGATACACCATATATGCCCCCCTCCCCTATCTACCTGGATCGAAAATTCGTAGACTTATATCTATCTCCCTTATTTACTCTTTAAGGTCTAAATTCAACGCTTATTTTACAATCTAACTCCACATGACATCGCCAAAAATAGAAGTCAAGCGCATCTGTAGTGGAAAATCTGAAACATTCTCATATCTTCTTCAATTACTACACAATTTACATATATATACTTCAAACAATAAGACGGTTAGTGGGTACCAAAACAAATTGTGAAGAACAACTTACATCAGTTTCCAACGGTGGAATCGTTCCATATTATCTTTTTCGACCGCATATCGTCGTAAAGTTAATCTATCATATAAATGTAAGTTTTGACTTTGTTGCAATTGCAAGTACTGTTGGAAAAAAAGAATGATAATAACGAAAACGTAAGGACATGGAATTACATATACCATATATATATATATATATAACATGTATATATTGGACACGAGGTGAGTCTCATCCTTTATTTAGTACAGACTTTTTTTCAGTAAAGTTTGCAGTGTGGCCACCATGTTAAATAACTCCCCATCACGGTGTACTCCAAGTCGACGTTAAATGGTGGGAGGCGATTGGCGAAAAGTCTTGGACCTAGATTTCAAGCTTGTTAACGGCATTCATCAACAACGCATATCTGAAATCTTCAGGGAACTCATATCCCTTCTGAGATTCGAATCCTAGTCACTTATTGATTCAGTCAGAGAAGTTATCACTGATCTAATCAGGCTCAAGATTGATCAGACCAACCTCGTAGGACTGTATTGAATATATTGACTGATATCTTTCGCATCTCTCACTTTTTTTCGCCCACCACAGTATTCACACGGTCGTTGCCAAGACCTTTTATTAGCTTTCCCTTCTCATCATAATCGGAGCTCGCCGAAATCAGTCTTCTTGTGTCAATCAGTTCGGATGAGGCTGTAGAGATCTAATGTCTCTCACTAACTTTAGGTTTCAGGTTATTAACAGCTTTGACAGCTGTGTCTACAGCTAACTGTATACCGTGCCAGGCTTCCTCAGGAGGAGTCTACCTGTCTATCTCAGATACTCGTTTCACAGTTTCTTTCTTAAATACAGACTCGGCTTCCTGATCAAGTTTACGGGGTAAATGATTCGTTGTTAACAGTTTTTTATGTCCTTTCAATCGTAAGCACAAGCGGGCGCGAACCATGGAGTGATCGAAGTCGATGCACGCGTTCCAGAAGGAGCAGAAGTCTCCTACTGACCCTCACCAACGATACCCTATCGCCATGTGGTCGCTGTTTAAGTCCAACGTCGATTTGGTAATGGAGGTCGTCAGGCTAGGTAATGTCCCTTTTTGTGTCTAAAGTTAGTGATGACTAGGAACAGGTGATCATTCGAACAGAACTGTAGAAGATGATAACCGTCGTCGGTTCGTCGGCAGGGAACTCCGTACGTACCGCCAACATACTTCTCAGCCTGGCACAACTTCCCTACTTGAGCAGTGAAGTCGCCTGCTAAAACAACTATATCTGAAGGTTTTGCTTTTTGCAGCAAATTAGAGTTTCAGGTAGAAGTCATCCTTTAGCTCATCCGAACTGCAGTCTGTTGGAGCGTAAGCGGAAACTACGAAAAGGCAACGACGGGTAGTGCCATCTTTCCTTCTTTTAACTGACACGTTCAGATGGACCACACACACGACTATCTATTAGGATACAGTCAAGAAGTGAGTTTTCTGCCCTAACACTTGATACTATCCTTATACCCGCGAGTCCTCGCTAACTAGTTGAAGAATCTTGACACCTGTAGAGTGAATTTTGCACATAATCATACAAGTGGCTCAATGAGTACAGTGAAAACTTCTCTGACCACTATTAAGCACGAAGAAAGTTAGTCTGAAAATTCAGCTATACCTCTGTCAGTGTGCTGGTACTCTGATTCATGGCATTTTGTTAGATTCCACCCATTCAAGAAACATATATGCCACAAATGTCACCGCTACAGACATAAAGAGGGGTACTGTTCACCAGAGAAAAACTCTTCTATGGGGAAAACGCATGGTTCTTTCTAGCAGAAACAAGTCCCTCAGATATACACACCACCTTCACAACGTCCAAATTCGACTTTGCCAGCATAGGCGTAACATAAACATCGGTCCTCCATCCCTAACTGAGGTTACAAAAGCCATCTCTAATCTCAAACGACACAAAGCAGTAAGATGCAGTGACAGGGCGATTTGTTAGACTAGTATGGTATCTAAAGTTCTAGACTCAATAATCATGCGTAGATTATGGTGTGGTGCCAAGGAGGAACAAACACGAAAACTCAGGCACATTATAGACCAGGAAGAGGCTGTATTGATCACATCTTCACCCTCTAATAGATTACGAAACACAGCCATACCAAACGCCGCGCAACAATCACCATATTTCTTGACCTGAAAGCGGAATTCGACTCTGTCCACCGAGCGGTACTATGGCAATGACTGAATATGTCAACTGAACACATCTCCGGAGTAGACGTGATATCTGGCTATCGACCAAAGGACATATGTACTACTCAGCAGTTCACTCCTTACACCTATATAGCTGCGTTTGAATGAGACATGAATGACATTTGAAAGTGGAAGACATGAAAAGCTCGACTAGCTGTCTTTGATCATAGACGTCTGCGTTTTATTTCCCGTGTTAGGTGGAATAATTAGGTCAGTAATATTGAGGTGAGGCTTTGATCGAGTACTAGGTAAGGAGGGAAAATCAATCGATACTTACTTACTTTACTTCGGCTATCTCCTACGGGAGGATGAGCCGGCTTCATGAACGTCTCGAATCATCGCTGCCCAGGCGCGGCAATTTGTAAGAGAGTTCATGAAGTTTCAATCGATGATGTGGTTGTGAAGTTACGTCGATTAAGATGGTCAGGAGATGTGTTGCCATGCATATCTGCGTAGCCATCGATCAATCGCCTTCCCTGACGGGCGATGTTAGCTGACTGACATAGTATTGATCAGATATAAAAAGAGGGAGAGCTAGTGGTGGTCAAACCGAAACATGGCGGCATCACTCAATGAAATCCATAACAGTTAGTTTAAGTTATTCATGTGGGTAGGTGTAGACTATCTCTTTGGGTTTTTCGGGATTGTAATAACCACTCAAAGATGGAGACAACTGGTGATATGGCGGAGAATAGTTGTCAATGGCTGGCGCTGCTGCATTCATTCTTTGTCATATGTCATGTCCACTAAAACTCCATCGCTGTATTATACATAAGATTTTATTTTGATACGTCACACAGTATTACGAAGTAATATTCACTAATAACGACGTTTCGAGCACAAATTATTGTTCATAATCACGTCAAGTTACTCTCACAACTTTTTCTTTCATTTGTATACATGTGTGTGTGACTTATCAAAATAAAATCTTATCCATAATGGAGTTATACTCTACCCCAGTGCCCAAGTTTTATACTTATATCCATTGTTCTATATTACTATTCTTTTTTCCCTAACTCACACTTCTGTTTATTACCTCTCTATTGAATCTCTCTTCACTCTCTTCTCTTGCTTTGTATGGTACATGGAGGTTGGCAAGTCGAACTGTTGCACATGTGTCCGAAGTCCGATATTGAAATCAGTCGATGAGTGAACCTTATAAACTGAGAGTAGCTAGTTAACGCAGAAGGATTTTTATGAAGTTCTGCTTACAACCTGACTTCGATGAGGTTTTGTGCCAAGGGATATCACTGACTGGAAGCAAGATGATGAACCGACTTCAGGTAGAGTGCTCTTATAACCCGGTGAACACTGGGACAGTTATTTCTATTGTGGTTCTCTAAATGAAGTCGGTTCGTGATCAAAGTTGCAGTCAAGCAAATCCCTGCAGTCCAACACTTATATGTCATAGTGAAGTGATCACCGATGGCATTGGTTCATGGTAAGCGCTACACTCATGGTGAATAGTGGGCAGTCTTTAGGACTTATGTACAAATGGTGCATTGGTTAACTGGCTCGCCTTTAAACCTGTGCAGTCTGGATTCGATCACTGATGAGGTGTTCCTGGGTGTGTATTGATGAAGAGTCCCAAACTCGGGCTAAACAGCTGTCCAGTCTGTCTGTTTTCGACATAGAACTTTGCACAAATGTGCGGAAGTTCAAGTCGCCACATTCCGTGTAGCACGCGAAGCAAGAGAAGAAAGTACAAGAAAAGCATAATAGAAACAGTGAGGAGAGGTGTGAGACAAAGGAGTAATAAAGAAATACAAAACAATTTCATGGAAGATCATAAGTCACAGGGAGTGGATGCATCTGCGCCAGCTGTCCAGTACTCCGTAATATTAGATGTTTCAAAATTCATGAGTATATTTATAAATGCAATCACAATATTAGTAATTCACTAGAAAGGCGAGTCAACATACAACAATGGGGCAAACAATATTTTAGAAAGAAGAGGTTTCCCACTCACTTCATCCAATCCATATTTTTCTGTATCGGCTAATAAAGTGGGCTGATTCACACCTTGTAGGTCACAGTTACTGTTCGAATTTTTACGCATGAAATTGAAAATACTTTGAATGTTAGAAAACTCGAATTCCTATCACAATTCAAATAGAAAATAAACAAAAGAAACAATATTTAAATTATGCTTTTTATCTTAACAAGACGAAAAACACAACACTTATGTACAGTAATGTTAGTAGCTAAAAATTTCAAAAAAACAATGAGATATATATTGAAAAAGGCACGAAGGGTCTACTAAAAGCTGAAAACCAAAGCAATAGAATGATATTCCATGATCCAAACATTTTCCAGGATAGAAAACGACTAAGTGGTTAGTGAGAATATTCAAGACTTTGCTGATGGTGAATAATGCAGAGTGAATACACTGACGGATGGCTGGTTTCAACATAGGACTTTGCAAACGTGTGGAGCAGTTCGAGCTGCCACACCCATATGCCACACAAAACAAGAGAAGAGAGTAAAGAGAGATAATAAACAGGAGTGTGAGTGAGGGAAAAAGAAAACTAATATAGATAAGTGATGGAGTTTTATTGGATATGAAAATCAAAAAGAATGAATGCGTCTGCGCCAGCCTTTCACAAAGATTCTCAGTCATATCACCATTTACCTCAAGCCATTGGTTTTAACTGTCTCGAGGACCCCAACAAGTAACTCTACATCTTTCAACGTGGCTTAAACGAACTCTTGTGGATTTCATTGACTGATGGCGCCATGTTTCAGTCTGACCATCACTAGCTCTCCCTCTTTTTATATCTGATCAATACTATGTCAGTCAGCTAACATCGCCCGTCAGGGAAGGCGATTGATCGATGGCTACGCAGATATGCATGGCAACACATCTCCTGACCATCTTAATCGACGTAACTTCACAACCACATCATCGATTGAAACTTCATGAACTCTCTTACAAATTGCCGCGCCTGGGCAGCGATGATTCGAGACGTTCATGAAGCCGGCTCATCCTCCCGTAGGAGATAGCCGAAGTAAAGTAAGTAAGTATCGATTGATTTTCCCTCCTTACCTAGTACTCGATCAAAGCCTCACCTCAATATTACTGACCTAATTATTCCACCTAACACGGGAAATAAAACGCAGACGTCTATGATCAAAGACAGCTAGTCGAGCTTTTCATGTCTTCCACTTTCAAATGTCATTCATGTCTCATTCAAACGCAGCTATATAGGTGTAAGGAGTGAACTGCTGAACAGTGCACACGCCACTATGCATTAGTTTCACACCTCCCGCTGTAACTTTCAAACAAACAATTAGCATCCCAAGAATCCCACAGCGCAGGAAATCTAATCGCTTCATGAAGGCAATCATCACAGATTCTTGCACTGTTGCCAACTTCAGCCGATATTGCGCTTCTCTGCGAGAGTACGGTCTCACCATGCATAACATAAAACATGTAAACTTATATCTGATATCAGCATTGCTTACTTTGTGATATTTTACACACAATGGGAGACATCTAAGGCGACAGCCAGAATTATAACCCTGTTATTTTTAGAGAACTTGACTAATTTACTAGTTCGCTAGTTTTCTAGTCGGTCCCATGCCCAAGGAAAGAGGGAGGGTTAGATGTGGGGTTAGCGGCCCTATCCCGGAAAATCAATCAAAACTGCAAAGGGGGCTTCAATGCGCAAGGAAAATATTTTTCACAACAATCTTCTGCATTCACAGCAGAAAAAAAAATCCGGATTTTCAACACAAATACTAAGTCAGTCAGTCAGTTCTTCTATATGGATCTGGAAATTGACGTAATATCATGAAAAACACTTCCAGAAGGCTACTGAAAACTTTTACCAACACCTATATCCTCCGTTGACTCCATACTAAGGATCAAATGACCGGCCGGAAATAATTAGCAAAACAGAAACTCTGGGAACGGACTAACCAATTACCTATCGCTCAACATATATCGAGAGGAAAGCGGAGATGGATTGGGCATACGCTGAGGAAACCGTCCAATGACATCGTATGCCAGGCCATCATATGAGTGGGAGCTGGATAGGAAAAAACAATTTGGGTGTCGGAGGGTGACATGGAAGAGATAGTGAAAAGAGGAGATCAGAGATTATGAGTAAACGTAAAGTCGGGTCAAGAGGACTGCAGAAAACAGAACAAAGTGAAGACGTGCTATTGATGCCCTACCTTCCACTCGGCACCCTTGGGAACAATAGTAATAAATAATATTCTCTTTAAACAACAATACTTCGCAATTGTATATCACGATAGAGTGAATCAATTCACGGTACCCGTGTCAGTATCTCACTAACTAGTCTGTGTGCATTGATGAAACTTTGTCAACACGCCAAATGGTCAACTCTTATATATATCAGCTATTAAAGTAACATAGCACCCAGCATCAATGTGCAGCGATAGTTCAGATTGTCATTTCTAACATATTAAGTTGAACATAAAACAAAAGCAGAGATATGTTATGTGGGAGATGTGACTGATTTTCACAAGACTTAACCCAAAAGTCCACTTAGTCTCTGTATAGCCGAAGGGTGCACTAACAGTCTAGACAACATAATAATAGCAGTAATGATAATCAAACTGACTTCCCCATATAGTGACTAATCAGTTGGAATGACTAACGACCTATACTAGTCTAATACAACTACACTTGGGACTCACACTAATTAATGCCCCATTTAATCCCAGTCAGAAGCCCATCCACCACCATCATCCTCAAACAACATCTATGAAACCAAACAATCCCCACTGTTCGGGACTCTTCATCAGTTCACACCTACCACCAGAGTTCGAACCCGGGATCTTACGGTTACGAGGTGAGCTCGTAGACCATTCAGCCACTAAAAACCCGACCGATCGGTTCATGAATTCCAACTTCTGACAACCTCGTGATAACTAATCTGATGCTCAATAGCGACAGGCCCTACACAGGAAGTTACTCGGGATTCTAGTGAGAAGTTGTAACCAGCTGGGTCCACCAAGTCATGCAAGAGGAGTTACTCGTATATGACACTGGCTGGCGGTTGTGACATATATATTTATACATATATATGTACACATATATCATGAATTGGTGGTTGGAATTCACAGGTCAATGGGTCGGCTTCCAGTGGCTGAGGATGGTCTACGAGCTCACCTTGTAATCTGGAGGTCCTCGGTTTGAACCCACGCTAGGACGAAACAGCTAGCCAGTAATTCGAGTTGGTTTTCCAACGGTTCTCTAACTGACGTCAGTTTGTGATCAACCCTGTGAAACCAATGGAATCTCTGCAAACCAACACTAGAAAATTCTCATTGTTTTAGACCAATAAAACAACTTCGGCACATTAGTGCTGGTAAAGTAGCCAGCAATTATTCTTAAAAAGTTGTAGGAGGCCATCATCAGTGTTGTCAGTCAGTAACATCGATATGAGATTCATAAATCTCTTTTGAATAAGAAACGAATGCGTGAAAATAACCACACAACACAAAAAAACTCACAGTAGCATCAACAACAGGTTCATGTTGACACTTTGTTAACTGCTTGTGAAACTGATAGTGTAGCCTTCTACTGTTGAAGATAAGTTTTTCTGGTCTATATTCTTCATCATCTCTTAGATTTCTGAAAGGATTGACCTTCTTTACAAGGGATAACATAACTCCGCCATTTCTATCATCAAGTCGGCTTTCTCTTTCATCGATATCTGCTTGACGTAATGGTGTATTAACCAGATTCATAAATGTAACTTTCGCGGGATTAGAGGATTGCGGTGTTTTCAGCATAGTCGACTGTAGATTATTATTATTATATTAAAACGTCGTGCTTTTGAATTTAGCAGTGAAGGGGTTAAATCCAAGTTGATAAGAGGTACTTCTAATACTGTAATTATTCTACGTGATGATAATGGTTTCATTACATCAGTCAATACTGCATCAACACGCGGTGATAATACATGAGGTGTATTCATTTTTTTTAGTTCTGTCTCTGTGTCTCTGTTTGCCACAGGTGTAATATTTGAGATTTTATGCTGCGATGAATGAGTAGTATCATGTTTTTCGGGTGAATTACAAACAGTCTCTTCACTGCTTATAACTACAGACATATCATCGACTTCAAAGGTTGGCAAAGCAGAGACACCGTCATTTTGAATCTCCATGTCTGATGCATCACATTTAGGTGCAACATCATCATTATTTTTAATATCTAATGTATTTTCAATAATCATCATTTCGTCCTCTGGATTACAATCTGGCGATAACTTCATGCTAACTTGACTACCTTCATCTCCGCCTTCAATCTCCATATTTATCATCTGTTGTTGATCATCACTACTATTAGTTGATATTCGATCAACTATCTGACAAGAAGTAGGCGTGACTGCTTCCATTGAAACATCATGAATAGATGTAACACCTCCAATACTGTTGTCATCCTTACGAGTATTACCTATTGTTGCCTCAAAATCATCCTCCATAGATATATCTGAAATCATACAATTTCTGCAAGGAATAAAGAGAATAAAAATAACACAATCACAACATAATTACGTAAATCTATTTAATTAGTGATGTAAAAACCATTACGTTAATCGAGTCAGTAGACTTGACTTTCGCCGATATCGCCTGAAGATTTACTGTCAAAGTCAACAATATTGGATATGCAGGAAAGATTGTACACCTGCTTATATTCTGTTTCTGTTTAGCGTATATTGTTGTGCAACTCAAACTCATGCAGTTAGCCAGGTGAGAGCCTACGAAGAGTTGTCATCTGGCGACTATGATGACAACCAGTGGTCTGCGATGTTCACCATTGTCAAAATTTCTCTTTAATTCCATCATAGATGTACTAATGGAATTAACCCTAAACGACTTCAGAGACTCAACGATTGACGTGCCACTATAAAATAATCTCGTTCACATAGAATAGAATAAGCGGATGATGTAGTCCTCCCTACTAGGTAGAGACGCTGACAAAATACACCAGAGTCTTCTGAGCACTTTGACCAGCAATTTTCGAATGTTTCGCTTGCGATTCTAGCGATTCTGTCAAATGTAAGAAGATGCTACAGGAATCACTCGACTACACCGACTTCCTTCTAGCTTACAGATAGGCAGGAGTGAAGTGGTTGGTGGAGCATCTTAGGTGTTAGGTGGAATAATAAGGGGAGCAATATTGAGGTCAGGCTTCGATCGAGTGCTAGGTAAATGGGAGACGGTGATAGGGAGTGAAGTGATAGAACATGTTGACCACTTCACCTATTTGGGAAGTTGTATTAGCACCAACGGACTGATTGGCGATGAAATCTCAGCACGGATCCGAAAAGCTCGAGCTGCTTTCGCTGACTTACACCATCTCTGGCGTAGGCGTGACATCCGGTTATCAACCAAGGGACGTGTGTACTGCTCATCAGTTCGCTCCATCCTTCTCTATGGCTCTGAAACATGGCCAATACGCGTTGAAGACATGAAAAGGTTGACTGCTTTCGATCATAGATGTCTGCGATCTCTTTCTCACGTTAGATGGTTTAGTAAGGTAAGTAATGTTGACGTTAGGCGTAGAGTGTTGGGCAAAGAGGGAAAATCAATCGACGAGGCTATAAAGTTACATAGACTAAGATGGCTAGGTCACGTGCTGTGCATGCCTAACCACCGCCTCCCCCGACGGGCATTGCTAGCTGATATAGGTGCAGGCTGGAAAAGAGCCAGTGGTGGCCAAACAAAAACATGGCATCAATCCATGAAATCCTTGACAGTTAAACTGAGTCAGGTAGGGAGATGCAGACTTCCGGGTTGGGGGCCTCGGGACTCTAGGAATCAATGGCTGGAGACAATAGGTGACATGGCTCAAAATCGCTGTCAATGGCGCAGATGTATTCAGTCTCTGTAATCTTTCATATTCCTTTCCACCATTACCCATTCTGTTTCACTCTTATACTTGTCAAACTCTATTGATTCTCTTTACTCATCTTCTTGTCTACCTCTGTGTGGTATTTGGAACGTGGCAACTCGAACTGGTGCACTTCGGTACCAAGTTCTATGTTGAATCCAGACAGACAGACGGAAATCAATCGATGATGTGGTCGTGAAGTTACGTCGATTAAGATGGTTAGGACATGTGTTTCTGCCCATGTCTGACTAACCATCGATGGATTGCCTTCCTCGATGGGCGATGTTAGCTGACTGACATAGTATTGACCAGGTGGGAAAAGAGGGAGAGCTAGTGGTGGTCAAACCGAAACATGGAGGCATCAGTCAATGAAATCCATAACAGTTAGTTTAAGCTAAGTAGATAGGTTTAGACTGCTTGACTGGTTGGGGTCCTTGAGACAGTAAAAACCAATGGCCGGAAACAATCGATGACATGTTGAAACCAGCCAATCAGTCAGTCAATCATCTAGCAGCTATATATGAGAAGCCACTGAAGGGAAAACAGGAGTAGGACATGGTCGCTTGTTATCACCGATGATATTCCTAGTTCTAGTCAACTGGATTATGTGGCACACTGTGTGTGTGGGCGGGGGGGGGGACGAGATGACAGAAATACGCCGAATCGATAAGAAGACTCTAAAAGATCTGGATTTCAAGGACGATCTGTATCTGTCACACAAACTCGAAAACCTACAGGCGAAAGCTTACAAGTTCGTGGAAGAGATAAGAAGCAAGGACAGAAGTCCAAGTGAACATAGAGAGAAAACGAAGTGATGAAGATAACCAACCGGCAACTATAAGCACCAATCACTATCAAAAGGAAGACATTTAAAAGACGTCACTTACTTCTAAGAAGCATCGTTTCAACTACAGGCGATAGCACAGATGAGGATGTCAAAAGCAGAATCTGAAAAATAAGACAGATCTTTATCCACCTGAAACCAGTTTGAAAATCTCCTCCTTTCAGTCTAGAGAACAAGATTCGTAGCATCACTTCGAGGGTGACAGAGAGATCGTGTGAGGAGGAAATGACAACCTATGGGCAATAGCGGGCCCAACTAAAGAGGTCCACTGAGAATAGGACAAAATAGAGGTGTTCTTTTGAAGCTTTGTTTTCCACTTAGAACTCAAGGGAACAATAATAACAACCAGTGGACAAAAACAATAGTCTCGTATTTGCTAGAAATGACTACTAGACTCTCCACATACTCCCTAGCTAGCTACCTATAAACTGAAAAGTCCTTCGCAGCTGCACTATTTTGTTGGTTAGTGGGAGTCTGGTACTTTTAAAAATACTAAGAGTCAAATAGAATCAATATAGAAAGAATACTGACTCAATCACTTCAACTTATTATATATACACAGACAGTATTAATACACAACACCTACACATTCGATCAGTCTGAACCACATTCAAATGCAGTAACTCATATCCTTTGCTTGCATACAACGCTGTACAGTACGGTAAATGCCATTAAAGTATGAGAGAATTGTAAAACAAAAGACATTAGTTAACACAAGTGATTCGTAACACAAACTACACCTTACTTGACACAGATTTCTGATTCCCCTTCACTATCATGACTCCAAACATGTATGTACTGAGAAAATGAGACTCTTCTATTCAATTTTTTAGTTGATCCAGTAGCCTCCTAACCACACACACAAAACAACAAAAGCATTCAATTGAATTCGATTTATATTATTCAGAAGAAAAAGTAACCTACCGCTGTACTATCATTAACTGGATCAAATGGCATCTTCAAAGACTGTAAGAAAAACACTGTCATTAAAATATAAGTTATACATACAGACCTCCGCATTTTCTGGTTTTCTGGAAATAATCTGCTTGGAGATAAAAATAAGAAATCGTTTTATTGAAAACTGAGACGTTAACAGTCATAAATCAATACATGATTTCATGAAACCAAAGTCAAAAAGAGAAGAATGTAGTTCAGTGCCCGAAGAAAATAATGTACATGAATCTAGACTTCATAAAAGACTTAACGCGAAGTATGCCAAAGAGCAGAATCTCTAATTCCGTAAAGATATTTCCTCTAGCAACGCTAAAAGTGATACTCTTTATTCTCTCCCACTACTTTAAGATGATTTGACGAACAAACTACCGCGTAAGACCACCACAATGTAGTCATTCATCTGCTCCTGTGAAGATAAACACGTAGGTCGTCCTTTCAAAATGTGTTGAGGAAAAGTGCCCGGCATGGTTGAGAAAAGGCGGAAATGGATCAATCAGGTCTATAATTTAACACCTCATCAGCACCTGTCAAATCATTTCAACTGACTCATCGTTCAGTCATTCACAAAGTGAACAAAGACCCAGCAAAGACAATGTGTTCCCGACCTTTCTGTACTGCAGAAGTCCTCGTCATATGTACTGAGCTGTGCTCACAAGAAACTAGTCCAACCTCTACATTTACCATGGATGCAGTACTGTTTGGCTTCTTAGTTAGCGTTTTTTCATTCCCTTCGTTTCTTTCATCGTTAGTTATAAAAATTATTCCAACCCGTTTCTATGCACATCCTGTTCACATCAATCTTCCTTGAAAACTGTTTTACGCATCACCCAACAATTTTTCTGATCCTGTGTAGTTTTCTTTCTGTGCTCTATAATATAACCAAACTTTCATACCTGTAAGCTCCCTGTCACTATGATGAAGTAAATAATAATTGTAGTTATGTTAATTTGTATTTAAAAATGCGACTCTACAGCCTCTGAAGATGAAATTATCAAAAAGATATCTATGCTGATCTTTTTTTGATTATAGCTTGAAACCACAGAGTATTTTTGGTACAAGTATGGGATTTTCAGCATATGATATCGGTAGCCCAAATTGTGCAGGCCAACCATTGATATTACTAGAGTTCTGTGAAACGATGGTCTTTCCAAAAATTAGTGCACTTATTGAAAAAATACACTCCTTGCTATAATTTATTCAACACTGTTTACAATCTTTATTGTTGCTTGCTAACGAGTTATTACACCAGTTTATTTTGTTCGTAGGTGTTTTAATATCTAAAGTGGCTATGAAAGAATAGTTTTTAAACCACAAAATGTCAGAACACGAAATACTGCCACGATTCTACTCTACCCATGCACTGAGGATGTGACCCGGCCGAAAAGTGGTACCTTGACGTGGTGGTCGGGCTTGAACACCGCAATGACCTAATCAAGCTATACTGGCTGAGACTTATGTCTCTTGAGGTTCTACCATGCCAGGAAGGTTGTTTGGATAGCGGTTAAACAAAAAGCAGCTACCCCATCCAATACCATGATTCAAACAAATTCACAAATTTCATGCCGAATCGGCCGTGGCCTGGATTAACAACGACCGCGCTTCCTGCCGCCGTGTCACAGGGCAGGAATGATAAGTATGCTACTAAGACACACCAAACAAAAGAGAACAAACAAAAACAGGCCGCGTGTGACCGGCCTCAAGCAGTTGTCCCCTGGGCTCTGCGGTCACGCAACCAACTTCCACGGTGTGGGCAGCCGGGAAGTAACAATCGCCCTCACAATCCGAAATCCAGAGAGAGGATGTGAATGCATCAGG